ACGTCTCTATAACACCTACAATTGACATACCAACAGACTCAACACATCAAGGTGAATCGATAGATATATTGTACATCACTACTGAAGCTATTCTTTAGCAACACATTCAACAACAGCCCAGGCTACGCTCACATTGTTGCATCAACTACGATCGTCGCACTCCACTGATCACCAACATCGTCCAACAAACACCTATGACACATGATCAAACTCGACCCATCAAGAAGAAGCGATACATACTATATTCATTGTCGTTGGAGTAATCTTCATCAACTTTGGTCATCAACATTCAACTTCACAGGTAACAATCAAAACCTTGGACTGATTGTCGCACCTCTACTTCTAACAATAACTAATACCAATCAAGATTATAGTATAGTAATACTCAACACATCAAGATAAAACGATCAATATATTATACATCACTGTTGAAGTGATTCATAGGAATTACAGTCTTGGACAGCCATGAAAAGACAACCTTTTACAGCTAACTTGGATCGTCGCACACCAACCAAGGACCAACACCATCCAACAACTCCTATGATACTCCAACAGACTCGACTCATCAAGATGATGCGATATACCACATTCATTGCCGTTCATCGTGATCTATATCAACGTGGATCGTCATCATCAACAGCTATGGTGCAACATCTTGATCGATTGTAGCACACCTTACTGCTGACCAACATCGTCCAACATTCACCTATTATGCACCAACATACTCAACTCACCAAGATGAAGCGATGCATAACACATTCATTGCCTTTAAACCAATCTACAAGTGCTTGTCAAAGACATCCAGCACCTGTTGGCAACACCAGATCCCACCAACAACAAACAAAGTTCAACTATTATACATCATCAGACTCGGCTCATCAGGATGAAGCTGCATACTACATTCATTTCTGTTGGAGTAATCTACATCARCTTGTAGTTGCACCATGAAGGATGTTTGCAGGGTGATACAATGAGAGATGGATGGTGACCAACTGATCTTATTGACAAAGTGGTATATGGAGGCGTTTTGTGTCATGATCATATGGAGATGATGCACATTKGWCAACGARTTGAGAAGATGAACATATCGAWCCTGAAGCCCAACTGGATTGGTTCGCAGCTGTGGACTGGCCAGCGTGGTGTTACCATAGTAGATCTCGCACAGCAATTCCTTGTCTTCATTGGTATCATTGTAATGGCAACTAGTGTGGTCATGGCATTCAGGGTTCGATGGGATCAAGAGTGATCTCGAGCTTGAGCAGGGGATGGCATCCATTTATCGGAAAGCAGCATGCACATGCATGTATTGTCAGCTTCTGGATGGTGCAATTCTCATTGGCGAATAGGTGCTGCAGGAGATCATCAACTACTTCATGGAGTATTATGTTAACCTCTATCTTGTGGAGATGGGTGCTTTGGTGAGGTAATCATACAACGACTTGACAACATCGTTGGTATTCTCTGGTAACCAGTCATATGATTGGGGGATGTGGATCTTGAGAGTTGACAAGTTGGCAAGCTGCCCGAGTGAGTCACGAGGACCTTCCTCGTGAAGTTTGGAAGAGACAATACAAATATGGATGTGTTAATAATTTATATATACAGTCCACGGTCATCTCTGCGATTAATTAGATGAACCATATGCTTATAGAGCATCGACAGGTCATGTTGTGAGCTTTTCAATTCAAAGATTGGATGGACATTCTTGAGACTCTGCTCGAGACACATAACACTCTCTACACCAAGTCTTGATGACTCGACAAGGTTATGAAAAGAGTGGGCAACTATTCCAAATACCTGGCACTAGAGATAATAAAGCAATGTCAATGTCGTGTCGTATGGTAACCATAATGACAATCAATCTTACGTGGGACATCAATGCCGCAGGGAGCCTTTGCACCAAATTTGGTGTCTCAAGTGCCATAAACTGGGCCAATGGTTTGGTAACTGAGGTTCTGAGTGTCCTGATGAAAGGAGGCACTGGATGGCGATAGTCCTCTGCTAAGAACTGGGTGTCGATCAATGAATCTATTACTAGTACTCTAAAGTGTTTGGAAGCCCAATGAGTAAGTGGATATTCCATTGTTAATCACTTTTCAATCGATCCTGTTGGTTACCTTTGAGGATTGTTAAAGGTCGACATAATCAACTTGGCGAATGTGAATGATCGATCAACTGGGACTGTGAACTGACACAGAATGAATATGATCGATTGGTCTGTCTTGTGTCTGTAAACCTGGCATCTGTTATTGAGAATCTGCTCGTTTGTCCTAACAGAGTTCTAAATAGGACGTAAGTGCGAATGATACTTCAGTAGTGCTGTATACGTTTTTAACATACAATTCCTTCAAGCGAAATCTCTGCAATCTCATCAAGTTGACCAGCATATGCTGCCCGTAGGAAAATGCAGGGTGCATCCTTGGTGGCAACTATCAAAAGAGTAGTTGGTAATGCTGTTGGTTGATGTTCTCCGTTGAACTATACATATATGAAAGAATAAGTACTGATTGTAAAGTGCAATTTTCGATGCCTATCGATACATACTGTCATACGCGGTTGAGAAAGACATGATTCATCGCGTATGTCTTCTTCTTCCTCTTCAATCTCCCAGTTCCTTGATCTAGTTGGCTTAATATCAAAGTAGTTCATTATTATTTGATTAAAACTCTTCACTTCACTTCACATGAATGATCTAGAAGATTGGTCCCTCCTCCCCCAAATCAATTTTTATCCTATCCGTAGTTGTAGCTGATCATCATTCTGCCTTTAACAACAACAATGACAACACCATCACCAACAGCGCCAAAAACAACTACAACATCATCACTCACAACAACAACAACAACAACAACAACAGCAACAGAACCAGAACCATTCTCTTTAACATCGCTACCTATAACCCAAAAACAATCACCATGCATCATTCCAACTGTAGATGGCCGCATTGAATTTGAAGACTATGGGACACTGCTGCACAAGTTGGTCGCTGATTCACATATCGATTCCGATATGCTACAATTTGCACAACAGTTGATACACATACATCAAGCACAGATTGAGAGCATTAACCAACGATTCACCTCTATGCTCGGAGCTCAAGTCAAGCTTCTTGAGAGCAAGATCGATAATCAATTGATAATGGGCATCGGAGATAACAGCAGCAGCAAAAATAACAACAACTTGTTCTCCTGGCTAAGCTCATCAGTTTCGAAGCTACAACGACAGCTACTCATCAACAACCAGCAAGGTAATTAGTGTAGAATTAATCCACCCAAAGACGAAATCGCTGACACACTTAACATGAAGACCGTCCACAGCTCCAACTTCGCTTGGTATCAATGTTTGAACGAGAGTTCCCTATTGAGATACAGATCAAAGAGAACGAGCTCATAGAAATTGATACAAGGATACTCAAGGTCAAAGAGATGTTGAATCAAATGCAGCGTTACCGTTCCTCTCACTTTCGTAATCTGTCTCACAAGAGGAAGAAGAATGTTATCTCCAATGACGACTATCGAATGGATGCACCCAACGCCACCACAAACTCACACCAGACACCTACAGCGACAACAGAGGACAAACCATTGTATTTTAGGAAAAGTGATGGCTCATTCCTCCAGTATGTATTGTGTTGGTAATGGTCATATATAAATATGGACACACAGCACATGATGATCTAATAACGTATTCTCTGTGTTTAGGATCAAATGTCCATGTTGCAATGAATACAACTTCAAGAACATGACTGGATTTAGGAACCATGTGCGATTAATGCATGATCTCGCCTACACCACCTCTGAGGAGGCAGCACAGGAATGTGGTTACTCTGTCCCAGAGAGCCTTGTCCCAATTGACGACCAATCTCGTGATTGTTTGATGGGGTTCGCCACATCCACCAGTAAAGAGATGTTGGAAACTACCTTTCATCTAAAGAAACAACAACAGTTACAACTTCAACAACAACTCCATCGCACCAATGCCAACGTACAACTACAGCAACAACAACAATCCAATTCTCCACAATCGACAGAAGAAGAACCAATCTCTCGCTTCTACGTAAGGAAGCGTGTGATCGTTGGAAACACTTCTACACAGATTGCACCTGAGCATAGAGGAGCTGACAAATCAACACACAAGTGGAAGGTGTATATCAGAGGACCTGAGCATGATTCCGACATTTCATACTTTGTCAAGAAGGTCCGCCTGTATCTACACGACTCATTCGCACCCAACGACCTGATAGAATTGTTTCATCCTCCTTTTCATCTAACCAGACGTGGCTGGGGAGAGTTTACTGTACGCATTACATTATTCTTTCATGATCATCGAAACAAACCAATCGACATCTTTCACAACCTAAAGGTAAATATATTCCTACTTCTCCTAGAATACCTACTAACACCATGTACACCCACGAACAGTTGAACCAAACACCAATTCAATATGGTATTATGACAGTTGGAGGAGAGACAACGACTGACATCAACTTGGATAGATATTTCTTTGATCAGAGAGACAAGGAGTTGAGTGCCAAAGGCCTTACCACCCAAGACAACTTGGCTGTCGTCAGCCAATTATCAAATTTTGAACCAATTGGAGATAACATCACTCCAAAGACAGCAGCACAATCAACACAACAGGTGGTAGCAGATACCAACAACAGTAACTCTGTTGAGGAGAAACAATCACCACAGCAACAGCAACAACATAATGAGAGAATCATTTCAAGCAAAGCAGAGAGCCAAAAGAAGAAGAAGAAGAAGAAGAGTAGACATAAGAGAGATATTGATGAGGTTCTGACATTCGAGGGCAAGACAGTTAACGAACTTTTGTCCAATCTTACCAAGAGGTATCCAATCTTGTGCGGTAGGTACGAAATTCCCATGTCACTCAACAATATCTAAACATTTATCTCACAACACTCGACAAGACAATAAGCCTAAAGGACTACAATATAGGACCGCATCCTCACTCAAGGAGTGGGAGTCGTGGACAGTTGGCAAACAAAAATTGACAGAGTATAGATGTGCCAAAGTAATTCACAAGGACTTGAACAAGACATTGAATGCCTCATTTGAGCTACGACTGGTATTGGACTGGCTGAAGGAACACAAACATGTGCCAATGACTGATCTACAAAAGGCTATATACGTCCTTTCCAAAGAGCATCGGAAATCACACAAGATAAGCAAACACAACAAAGACAATATGAAGATAAATGTCGATATCGATCAGGTATCACATACAACTGACAACAACAACATCATCAACAACAAAGACAACAAAGACAACAAAGACAACAAAGACAACAAAGACAACAACAAAGACAATAACAATAGCAATAATACCAACAATAATAGCCATGACCCCAATAGTGAGCAAATTACAACAGATAATGATGCACTGCAGGTGAAAAGACAAAAGTTGGACACATGCACCACGATATCAAAGATCAAAGAAGAACCTATGACAGACATTGTCAATGTCAGCGCAACACAAGCAATTATACAACCCCTGTCCACATATTTGCCAGGGACATTAGCAGTGACATCAGCAAACCAACTCAAGTCCAGACAGAGGCCCAAGTCCAGGTCCATCAAAGAACCAACACCAGTGACAACAATTAATCCTTTACCAGACTGGACATTTTCTCTATTCTCTCCCTCAGCAGCCACTGCAGTCGGCCAGTCAGCGCCTCACAACTACCACCATGGCGATTCAAACATATCGTCTGCTATTGGAACACCCAAAAAAACACTTGGTCCCTACCCATTGTTCTTTTGCAAGTACTGTGGCACTGGACACCCACCTGATCACTTTGAGCAGAAGCAACGACACTGTGGTACAACAGCCAACATGACATCGTACACCACCCTCAACTCATCTTTCCCTCAGATAAGAATCACCTATCCCAACCATTTTGACCCAGAGTCCAAGCCCTCCAACCCAAACGAAAAGGTATGTATCATAAATTGGTCACACCTCGCATGCATGGTAACTGACAAAGATTCTGTTCCCTTTGCTTAGAGCCCAATTACACTTTTAAACACTACGAACAACAACTCACCATCTACACATCAGGTGCTTTTGATCAAGAATGTAGCATCAATGTTAAACATCAAGATTGACGACATGTCTGCAATTGAGGCCCTCCACATGGCAACAATCAGGTTCATGATTGACTTGATCAAACGAACAAACATTGTCTATGACAAACAGTTTGATTCCGAGTCCACTAATGAGTGTATCATCAAAGTGATAGTTCCCAGTCACCTTCACACAGCTGTGAGGTCACACCCATTGTTCAACTTCTTGAGCAATGTAGCCTTATTCAAATAAACAACTACAAAACTCACCGGAATTCCTTACTACACTTGGAGAGGCAATCAATCAAGATACATGGAACAAACAGTCGTCAGTTAAATAGCCATAGTTTATTTACATTGAAGTGATTTGTTTGAGAAGTCTGTTACATTCCAGGTCTAACTACACCGTGCTCATAGGTCCATGTGTAACTTGGAAGACTTGAAGTGTCAACTCTAAAGTGTTCCTGGTTCTCATTGGTGTACTTCTCCATTGGTAGCACAGAATTGTGTGGATCCTCATTAAACTTCTCCTTCTTATCCTTCTTATCCTTCTTATCCTTCTTGTCCTTCTTGTCCTTCTTGTCTTTCTTGTCTTTCTTGTCCTTCTTGTCCTTGTTATGCTCATTCAAGTCAGAAACATCCTCTTGGGCCATCTGCTCCTCAGAGTCCTTGTGCTTCTTGTCTTTCTTGTCTTTCTTGTCCTTCTTGTCCTTCTTGTCCTTCTTGTCCTTCTTGTCCTTCTTGTCCTTGCTATGCTCCTTCAGGTCGGAGGCATCCTCTTGTACCATCTTCTCCTCAGAGTCCTTCTGCTTCTTGTCCTTCTTATCCTTCTTATCCTTCTTGTCCTTCTTTTCTTTCTTTTCCTTCTTGTCCTTCTTCTCTTTCTTATCCTTCTGCTTGGTGTCAGCCCATTTGTTATCGTCCAAAGGATGGGATTCTATTTTTGAAGTTGGTTAGATAAAATCTATCATCTGGTTATATAACAATACATACTGGACTGGGCACCTCTAAGTCTCTGGCGTGACTTGTCTGAGCACTTCTTCTCGTACTCTCCCCTCAATTGCTCGTCAAGCTCCTGGTTGGCACCTTCAGACAAGTCATAACGGTTGGGTCTCTCCACCTCTTTTTCCAATGGATACTCCTTAAAGTCTGACCTGAACATGTCCTTCAAACTGAACAAAAGGTCATCCTCGTCCATCTTGAAACTCTTCAAAGGTGCTTGTTGGAGATCCTCCCTCATAGGTGCGGCCTTGTTTGGGATACCTCCAAACTCTCTAGCGATCATTGATGTTGCCATTTCTCTGTTGTATTGCTTGGTAGTGTCAGAATGATAATGGTTTCTTTGAGGATAGTTCAATTTAATTGACTTTGAGGTGATGGTTGTTGGGCGTTGTTGAATAAAACTGGGTACTATTGGAGCATCCAGAGAGGTGAGGGCAAGTTGTTCAAGTTGTTTTGCTGCTTGTGGATGGCGTGTATGGCGTTGAGGTTTGTTGAAGACTCTATAGTAGAGTTCGTAGAAGGCAATAAAAAGAATTGACAAACAACACACTACAATGTAGGTGTAGAACAATAATGGGTTCTTGCCAACAAGATTGTAATAAATGTTCTGTTGAGCAGGGATAGGACAAAATTGGATGGAGTTGACAGACGATGATGGATGATACATACAAACTAAATAGTTAACTAATATCGGTTGATATAGTAGGTCCTTTGCTCAACAGTTATTATTATTATTATTTGTTGGATGTTTTATTATTGTTGTTGTTGTTTGAAAATAAACTTAAAATTGTTGTTGCTGTTGGATACATTGAATAAGTTCAGAGATTGTTGAAGACATGTTGTTGTTGTTTGTAGTATTGCCTGAAAATTACTTGTTAAGGAAAGTTGCCTTATTAGTTCAACAACAGATTCATTTTTCCATTCACCCATAAAGTCGATTCGTCACCTCATGTCTAAGAATGGGATGGGGGTATCTATTAGGTTGGACACACCATTTTCCATAGAATGGATAAATATGACGTAGTATCTTGCTGAGCTGAAGCCCTTACTTGACACTAAACTGTGTCCATTCTTTAATAGGAGTGAACTAGTTAGTTGAGGTACCTCAAATCTCCCACAGATGTAACTTAAACCAAACTGGGCTCTCTACAATGAAAAATTTTCTTGATTGTTCTCTGAAATGAATATTATTATTATTATCTGATTTCATTTATTTGTGTGGAGGTAATAATAAATAAATAAAGACATTGTCATCACCAAAGTGACAAAACTGGTTTGGTTTTGATTTGAACAAAATTAGATTCAAAGATTTGATTCAATGACACATGTGTTCAGGTACAAATAACATGTCATACGTAAGAACGATGGGAGGATTGAGAGTTGAAGACAAAGGCCGTTGATTAATGAATAAATGTTCTACATTTAGAAATCACCATTGATTAAAGAGGGAAGCGTAACAAAGCAAGGTGGCAGGATCAAGAATTGGAAGAAGCGATGGTGTGTTCTCAATGAAGAAGGATTGCACTACTACAAGTCTCAGAATGTATGTTGCCAATCGCCACCCCACTACCTATCAGTCATTACTTACATCCCAGAACCAGACCATAGAGAAAGGATCTATATCAATCGAGTCGATTACAGGTGTCACTGCAGAAGAGAAGAGCTCATCAAAAAGAAAGAATTGCTTCTCGATCAAGACACATGATCGTACATATAGGATATGCGCCACTGATTCTCTTGACAAGGATGAATGGGTCAACTCATTGAGGAAACTAATACAATCAAGACCAAACAACAACAACAACAACATCAACAGTAACGGCACCAATCAGGTAAGAAATATGAAATTGCTTTTGCCTCAGACAATCACAGACTCACATGTATCCAACAGCAAACCAATGTAGATATCAATAGTAGTAACAACAGCATCAGCAGACTTAGGACCGACGATGATACCTCGTCAGATCATTCTTCAGTTTCTGGCAGTCTGCGGATGACCGACTTTGGGGGATACACCAATACCATATGTCTCACACCAACCATGCTGGCTTTGAAGGATAAGTTTGGTCTGAACACATTCACTCTTGAGCTGAACAAAAAGGTATTGACTTCGTATATATATATGAAGAGACTCGTGTGCGCAGTGAGACTTACCTGTGCTCTCATATTTCAATGTCACTTAGAGAGATTTATTATCACTGGAAGAGGTAGAGATGATAATCAAACTACTGGAAGCACATATGAAGTCAGAGATAGAGGACTCCACCAAAGAGTACGATGGAGAGATTGTAGAGATTATTAAACAGATATACAAGCTACGAGATGTAGAGCTGGACAAAGTTGAGGAGGACTACCGACGACAAAAGTATGATCTTATGGCCGAGATCGCATCGAGGAATAAATAGGAGTAGAGTTGTCACTCAATTCACCACTTCCAACACTTGAGCAATCAATCAATCAATCATTCATTCATATATATATATTGATTCATTCCAGGTTGAAGTGACATTAACAGGTTGTCCAAAACAATAAAAATTCTGAAGAAATCTTCATTCATTAGCATCTCCACTTCATTCATTCATACACATAAGATGACCGAGAAGAAAGATGGTGTCAGCAGCAAACTGACCCTTTGGCAGAGATGGTGTGTAAGTAGAACAATATGTCGGTTAGCATTTTCAACTTGATTGTGACTACTAACATTGGACACAGAACGTGGACCCAAAGAAAAGATTAGTGATCAGCATAAGCCTGCTGGTGATGTCATGTACAGGACTCTATATAGATTCGTTGGGTGATGACAACCCATTCAAGAGGACATTCGACCGCAAAGACGTCACTTATAGAACTATTGATTACAGGAAACCTGCTGGACAAAGAGTGACTGTTGTACGCAATGGTGTCATCATTGAAGGTGGACCTGACAACATCAAAGCAGTATCACCAAGCGAGCAAACAACTTTCAACGCTGAACAACAACAAGACAATCAAACACAAGCTGACTAATTTTATTTCGAACAAGCCAGCCATTTTGTTTATTATTATTAGTTGTACACAGATAGTAACAACAATGTCAACTACTACAACAACAACTTCAACCTCAACGTATATATCACCAGAATCAATGATGATTGACCCAGCGTTGAAGATCAAGTTGACCAATCCTTTGAATCAGTCAGATCCCTTTGTCATACACAAACTACAACCAGGTGACAACACCATTGGACGTGCCCCCAACAATGTCATACAGCTCAGAGGCGAGCCAGCTGTATCAAACAATCATGCTATCATTGGTAGGACATTAAACATTTCGGCAAATGCCAACTATCTACTTGACATGTCTAACTCATTAATGTAACAGAGTACACGAAGGACTCAATAACTTTAACCGACCTAAATAGCAAGAACAAAACCCTCCTCTTACTAACACCTGACTCGACTCTTGAACCAATCATTGCCAACACAAAGTACAACTTACTTGATGGGTCAAAGATCATACTTGGGTCAACTTCTGCCAAAGTGACATTTAAGATGATTGTACCGAACAACAATAACAATAATAGGCTCTCGACATCAAATGGAACAAGTGTTAATAAGAGGAAAATTGCATATAGTCATGATGGAGCAAACAGCGACCCAGAGGAATATGAACACGATCAGTCATCACCATTTACATCATCAATGCTAGCATACAAGGCTCAAAAGTCACACAAAGATCAATCACCAATGTTGACGACGATTGAGAACACCAACAACGATGAAAAGTCTAACAAAGAACATAAACCTGAACCTGCACCTGCACTGGTAAAGGCTACCATTGGTTCATTAACATCTTCTGTTATAACCTCTACAATCAAAAAGGTTATATTCAGTAGTTTGGACGACAAACTGATCAATGTAATTATCCATTTATACCTTTGATAACTCTAGGAGTTGCTTACTAACTTTAATTCAGAATCTTACAAAGATCGTCAGTGAAATGGGAGGATCAGTTGTGGATGATCCAGAGTTGTCGACACATTTGGTTAGTGACAGTATAAAGAGAACAGCAAAGACATTGATGTGCATATCCTGTTGCAAACATATTGTTACCAGTCGTTGGCTGTTGGACTCTCAAAAAGTTGGGCACTTCATCAATGAGGAAGCATATATTGTCAAGGACGTCGAGGCAGAGAGAGAATGGAAGTTCAACCTAAAAGAGTCTCTTCGTCTGGCTGATAATCAACTCTTCACTGGATTTCGATTCTTTGTGCTCGAAGGCTCAGTTCCACCAAAGGAATTTCTGGCCAACTTGATCCGTGTCAATAATGGCACACTTCTAACTCGTTCACCTACAAAGTTTACATCGGACATCATTGTATTGGCTGGCGAAAAGGACAAACGTTCAATCAGTGTCTACCAAGAGAATGGCGCCATCATTCATTCTGGTGACTTTGTACTATTGTCTATTCTACAGCAGAAAATGCCACCCAGTCAGTGCTAATAGTTCATGAGGACCTGGTAATAAAAGACCACCGTCTGTATTATACATTGTTCTTCGTTGGCTCGATCGCCTAAGCAAGAGAATCAAGCTTTGCCTGTATCAATTCGAGTTGAACAAAGAACTCCTGTAGTTGATCCTTGTTAAACTCCAGTAACATCTTCTCGTTGTTTGCGGCCTGTTGTGCGTAAGTTGGTTAGCCGTCGGTCTTTGTACCTATTGATTGAAAATCAGTACATACATCTGTGGCCTTCAAATCAAACTCGAATATCGCTGAAGGATGCTTGATCTTGCTCATGGACGATTGAGACATCTGTAAATGGAACCTCCATCCAACATCACCCAACACCAATGGTGCCAGGGATTTTGTTCGAAGTGTGAGCAATGTACTCTCGGCATTCTCAGACCAAACATGTTGGAACGCAGTTATCTGTGTGCAGACAGGAGGAGTAAGTGTTGTAATGTTATGGCTTAATATTTTGGATCACTTACCTTGTCGTTCTGCAGCGATGACTTTTGAAGTTGAGCTACCATAACAGCACTGGACAGTGAATAGTATGCTGTTTGCTCGAAAATGAATGAGCAGGCTTCGATTATCTGCTTCAGCTCATAGGCTTGCAACTCTAGAACACTCTGTAGCTGCTCTTCCTCTACCTGTGTAAATATTCTTTCATTCTATCATGGTATCAAAGTATTTTGTATGTTAGTATGATATATAGATAGAGCTATGATTGATTCTTGTCACTTTACCTTATCAGAGCCTATCTTTTGAACGATTCTAGACAGTATCCTTGGGAATTTGGCAGCATCAAGCCTGTTAATCAAGGCAAGTGAATCGTTGAACCTATTGACGTTAGGAGTAAGTCACAAGATGATCATGTTGTTCACTATTAAACATAATAAACACTAGTATCATACTTTATTGATGTTAATGCAAAGATATCAACAGAGCTACTCATTATTTGTACACTGTTATCTATTTGTATGTATGGTCAAACAACTTGCTGAATTTTGAAAACTCTTGTGAAACTTTTTTGAGATGGTCACCTGCCTCAAGATTTTTATTGCGGCAGGTGTGCGTGTATTTGTTCAACATTATATGTTTGAATAAGCAAAACGAACTACAACTACCTTAATCAGTCACCTGACTACACACACATATATATACATAGACACTCACACACGAACAACCCACTCCTTACGACATCACACACACAAACGCAACACACTGAACAAACATGTTGTTCAGCAGCAGCAGCAGCAGTTGAACATGACCATCCAACAAATAAACAACACACTGTATACAGACAAACACATAAATTCATATATACACATAGATTTATCTGTAGGTAAGTACCATCTATTATTACCATCATCATCATCAAGCGGAATAACATCTCACACACACGCACAATACCACCAACATCAATCAGTGAGGGGATGGGTTGTCAGCTCACCAACCTCGCATAGCTGTTTTGGTTGGGTGCACTGTGATGCGAAGTGATTATGTTAGTAATGAATGTGTTGATGTTAGCATTTCATAATTAAAACAAAGCTCACTTCCCAAAGCTAACTTCTTGTTCTCGCTTTAGAAACTCCACAATCCTTAATTAATATTTATAGTAACAATAAGTCCTATATAAACTCGTGATGATGTCTGAAGGAACCGAAGACCCAGATCCAATATCTGAGGCCGTTGGGTATGGATAGTTAATCAATCCATCCATCCATCCATCCATCCATCTAAAAGACATGTTTACTTACATTTATTCTTGTAGATACATAGAGAATGTTCTACAGTCCAATGTCGATATTCAATATCAAGGATTGAAAGGGCTCATGTTGTGCTCAACGACACATGTTGTAGAGTTGTTCAAGAACCCATCGTTCTACTACCATATTAAGAGACACCCCAACCACAAACTTAATCATATCAACACCAGTAGTGGCGGAATTGGACACTCATGCTCAATTCCAATCAACACAAGTGGTGGCAGTGGCCACAGCTCAACCTCGTCGTCACCTGCAACCTCTCCAAATTCATCCCCATCATCCTCTTCCAACTGTGTATATCCCGATCCCTGCAACCAATCACCCTCCAAACACATATCAGAGATTGACTTTGACAAGTACTCAAAGAAGAGAAAGAGCACTTTAAAGTGTCTAATTGATCTCTGTCTCTCAGAGACCAAGAAGGTCCAGTCAGCCGCTCTAAGACTCCTGTGGCACCTTTCTGCTCAAGGTATATATTACACATTTATCCCGGAATTATATATATTTATAAAACTAACATTCCTGTGCCATTTAAACAATCCAATAATAATTAGCCGACTTGAAGGTTCTGCTATATGAAGAGGGGGTGTTGGATAGGCTAAAGTTGTTGATTGCCATCGACAATGCAACAGCGGCATCATCTCCTGGATCTAGCGCAGCAAACAATAACAAAGAGGCTGAGAAGCAGAGTGGAATTCACAGGACAGAGGTTCACTTGGCTTCATCGGCAATTCTGCAGAACATCACAGAGTATAGATTTGAGCGTGGAGAAATTAACCCCAACCAGGTCAAGATTGTCAATGAGGGTATTGTTGATCTGATCCTTCTGCCAAGGTCAAAGAGCAACGACAGAAGAGTTCAATTTCTCACCACGCTGACCATTGCCAACCTGTCAATGAACGATGAGAACCACGCAATACTAGACAGCCACAAAGCATTTGACATTGTCGAGTCGTTCGTTACCAACAACACATTGCACATGGACCTGGTGTGCCACTGGATAACACTTCAACCTCACATCCCTCTCCTACATTCAAAGTACCCTCAAGTCCAATTGTTTGCTCTCTACTGTTTATATAATCTTATGAGGAACGGTATGTATTGATACATTGAATCAGTCTCCACTCCCTCTGACAATAATCATCATACTACTACACTACAGACCAATACAAGGTGGAAGTATGGAAAGGTCTCAGTGTTAATAATGGTGTTCACTCAATATTCCTTCTTCTCCACTCTCACCATCCAAAGGTGGTAGAGTTGGCTCGTAAGATTGCCGACCAGCTGCAGATCGAGGAGCCATCCGTGACAGTCAACACCACAAAGATTGGAAGTGATCTGAAGAAACTGTTCAACAACTCTGAGTTCTCAGATGTGACGTTTATCTGTGAGGGCAAGAAGATCTATGCACACAAGGCCATTTGCGCATCAAGATGCGAGCAGTTGAGGGCAATGTTCACCTGGGGCAAGGAGTCTCAGGAGAATGAGATACACCTACCTCACATCCCTTACTCATCCATGTATGGTGTCATTGAGTACATCTACTGTGGCGTTGCTTCAATCACTTGGGACAATGCTTGCGATCTTCTCCAGTGGGCAGACTTCTTCTCTCTACAAGGTCTAAAGAGCAAATGCGAATTCTTCCTATGGCACTACATCGACCTGGACAATGCACCAATCATTCTATCTGTTGCTGATTGCTATGGATGCACACAACTGCGCAATGTCACTGCCAACTTTATTGTCAGGAACTACGAGAAGATAAAGGACAACGAGACATGGGTCTACAATGTATCCCCGGAGCTCAAGAAGCAGATCACCGAGAGAATCTACACTCTGATCACTTGCTCCTGTGGCTGCTTCTGCAGTTGTATCGACGAGAATGATCCCAGAGTTGTGACTACCACTGGAGAGGAGTAGTACTTTGTATGATATGAAAGACTCTTTATCACTCAAACCAGATTGCAACCAAAACAATAAATCATTCCATCACCACACAGTTTTTCTGTCGTTTTTGTATTGTGTGGTCTTTAACCCGAACTCAAACCAGATGACAATGATTCATTCTTTGACTATCTATCAAGCAGAACATGAGTGTTGTAGCATTGCCTTTGAGAGGCTTTATAACAGGAAATAGTGCTCGATGTCTATTGGGTTATCCAACAAACAATATACCCATCATATCCCCTTACCATCTTGGTCATCGACTTTACTCGACAAAGAACAACAACAAATCACAACCACAACAACAAAAGATTCAACCACAGGCAATCGATGCCAGTCTCAAAGCAAGACTACAACAAAAGCCCAAACAAGCACCAACATCAGACAATGGTGCCACTTCACAGACAGCCTTCACATCAAAGATGCAACTAATGAGAGACTTCATGCAAGACTCACTGTACAACGCCAAGTATGGTTATTTCACAAGCAAGGAGGTCATTACCTCAATCGATCCAAAGGACTTTAGGGATCTCAGTTCTCTTAAGAACAGGAGGGAGTACTACACCTACCTGAGCGACCTTTACAGGCAATCACAGCATTCCTGGTTCACACCAGTAGAGATATTCCAGGTATGATGATAGATGATGGTAAAAAGAGAGGAGATAATGGCTTACAACTAACTTTCCAACTCACTTGATTATAGCCCTACTACTCCAACGCAATTGGACGATATATCATTGAAACATTTACAAAGAGCCAAACAACAGCAGGAGCACCACTAAAGATATTTGAGATTGGCGCTGGCTCTGGTACCAATGCTCTATGTATTCTCAACTTCTTGCGATCACAACACCCAGAACTATACGCGACTACACAGTACACCATCATTGAAATCAGTAGACTGTTGGCTGAGAAGCAGCTCGAAAGGATCAAGGCGGAGCATCCAAACATCAAGGTGCAGGTTTATAACACATCGATATTCAACTGGACACACCGAATGGAGGAGGACGAATGCTTCGTCCTCATGACAGAGGTCATCGACAATCTGCCACACGATAAGATCCTCATCAATGCCGATGGCATCTACGAGACAGTTGTCCTGTCACCACAAAGCTCCCAATACTACGAAGGTGGAGATGAGCAACAGGTGCACATAGAGTATCAACAGGCACTGTCCGATCCAGTCATCCGCGAGTTCCTTCAGCTGGACAATCAATCGGGAATGGAGACACTGGGGAGTATAGAGCAGGGCAAGTTAAATAGGAGTACGAGCATCACTTATCTGTATCAGTCACTGAAGAACTTCTTCCAAGGCGATCGCAGCATTGTCTACGTGCCCACTGTGTGTCTCAAGATGTTCCAGATATTAGCCAAGTTCTTTCCACGTCATCATCTAGTCCTGGCAGACTTTGACTTCATCCCCTCATTGGTCAAGGGCGAGAATGCCCCCACTGTCCAGGAGAAGCGTCCAATTGATGGCACATCAAATAATGGTGACTATGAGTCAATTGACCATCCCAATGTCACTGTGCCCCTAGGAAGCTGCGACATATTCTTTCCCACCAACTGGGGCGATCTCCACCGTATGTACGTCAAGACCAATGAGCACCGAGCTCATTTTGCTCCAAACCAGGTCAAGTCATACAAGCAGGGTGACTTTCTGAAGAGGTATGCTGCAGGGGATCTTCCCAAGACTAAAAACAAAGTCATCGTTTAATCCAATGCTACAGGACTACACAAACATGTCGGTGCTTGTATCCTAAAGGAGTGGGGGTGGGCAGCGTGCCGCCTATGAATAAACATATCGATGATGTTGTAGTTACATAGATGATGATCCACCTTGGGTCTTTAATCGATTTGAGGGTGCCAATGAGGAGGTGAAGGTAGGAGAGGTGCCATTATTATTATTATTATTGTTGTTGTTGGTGCCACTATTGATTGGACTGCTTTTGTTCTGAATGTTGCTACTACCACTTGATTGTTTGTTTCGATTGGATGCAAGGGGAGATTTGAATCTGTTATAAACATCCAAAAGGTCTTCAGATTCGAGAGCGTCCTGGAATATCATTAGACCATTGGAGATATTGGTATTCTGTTGGAGTTCAATGCGTGCAAAGTCATCGTTACTATCGGGGTCATCCGATGGAAGGTCAACCAATGATGTCATTGTTGTCGATGTTATTGATTGGGTGTGATTGTTATTGTTGTTGTTGTTGCCACTGCCTTGAACATTAAATGACCCAGACTTTAGTACTTTTTGGTTATTGCTGGAGGAAGATTGAGACAGGAGCTTAACATCATCTGATTCGCTTGAATATGGTGAGGATTCTCCACCAGAGTGTCTTGGATCTTCAATTGATTCATTGTTGTTGTTGTTGTTATTATTGTACAGTTTCCTTTTCTTTAGATCTAAATTGTTGTTGTCATTGTTGTTGTTAGGATCAAGCACCAATCAATGCATAGTGCCAACAACAATGAACCTACCTAATGGGATATGTTGTGTCTTTGTTTGAAGGCTCTCTTGTTTCCTCAATATACTGTCATCTGAGCTTGATGTCGATTTGGTGATAAGGTTACTGCTGCTGCTACTACCACTGTTGACATGTCCACCATTCCCACTCGAAATAATATTGAATGAATAGTCATCTCGATCTTTGTCTATATCCCTCTCCCATTCTCGTGGGTGGTCTATGTTGTTAGATCCGCCGATACTAGTGCTGGAAGGTACTGCGATTATTGGGTGCTGGGGAAATGACGACAATCTGTTGGGAAAGGTATTGGGAACCACTACTGGACTAGATGGATGTTGTTGTTGATGTTGAATTTGATGAGATTGTTGTTGTATATGTTGTTGTTGCTGTTGTTGTGTAGTTCTTTGAGGATGTACAGGTATTGACAATGGATGTTGATGTTGTTGTTGTTGTTGTTGTTGTTGGTGAAATTGATGCAAAGAGTTGATTTCATTTCTGAATCCAGGATGATCATGTATCATCTGATTCAGTGATGGTAACTTATTATTATTGCTAGTAGCTCCATTATTACTGTTGTTAGCAACTTCATTGTTATTCATCTCTAATTATAGATATATAAACTTTATTGCTGTTGATGATTTAAACTGTGGATTGGTCTTTTTTCATTCAGGAGTGTTATTGACCAACTCCGAGACCAGTTTTTTTCACACAACACCATCATATTTATGTCATCAGTACAACACTCGTTTTTCATAGCACACTTTTAATGCAACAGACACTTGTCAATCATACAAACAGTGACACTCAAATATAACAAGAAGTAGAAAGAGGATGAAGAGAATATCAAGTCTATACTCGATTGGTACAAAGTATCATCAGACATTGGTGGCTACATCATCAACAACGAACATCAACAACACCAACAACAAGAATGGAAGCAATACAATTGCATCTCGCAATGGCCAATTCCCCAGTCCTCTGAAGAAGATGTCACCTCGCTCAACGACCACTGTCATTGATGGCACTGCCACTCAGCAGCAACAACGATCCTACTTTACAAAGACTGGAAAGTCATTATTCCAAGCTGGCAACAACAACAACAACAACAGCAACAACAGTAGTATAAGTGCAACAGGAACAGATAATACAAAACCATTCAAGAATGAAGTGGTTCAATCATATTCATTGGAGGAGTTGCTTCACAAGGCTACAGAGAGTAGTAATGCTGGACGACTTAGTGATGCCATCTCCGAACTTACAGATGCCATTGGACTTGATGGAGCAGATCCACGTGCCTACGGTTATAGGGCAGATCTTCACTTTCACCAGTCCAAATTCAAAGAGGCCATTCAAGACTACAAGAGGGTTCTTGAGTTGATGCCAGAGAGTCTGCCATGTCTCTCGTCACTTGCAGAGTGTTATGCATCCACCAATGATTTTGATACTGCAGTCAAGTACCTTAGACAAATCTTGGCCATTGAGCCAAATGTATGTATCAATCACACACCCAGTATTGGAGGAGTACTTCATATATTGACCAACTACAACCATTTAGTATCTACCAGCACTCGGATCACTGAGTGATATATATTTAAAACAGGGCAATGTCGATGAAACTTTGTCTCTATGCAAGAGGATTGTTGCAATCGAACCAAGCAACTTGAGTGCTCTACTTCAGTTGGGTCATGTCGCCTTCAAGAAGAATTCACTGGACAATGCCACCAAGCTCTACGAACAGGTTATTCGTCTGGCCAAGGAGAAGGGCTATGAGAATGTGACTCGTATCACCTCGTCCTCCAGTGCCGGTCCAGTTTTGAAACTATCCACCGAATTTAACCCTGCCTACTCTGCCGCCATCTGTTTGATCTCGATCGCAGAGGTGCAGGACAACCCAGAGAAGATTCTGGAACACTCCAACCTGGCACTAAGCATCCATCCAAATAGCGGGCATGCAATGACCATGAAGGCCTCAATGTTGTTGCGCAAGAAACAGCCCGAGGAGTCCCACAAGCTTTTGCTCAGAGTTCTGGAGCTAGAGCCAAACAATCAATTCGCACACATTGTTCTTGCCGATTGCCTCTTTGATTTAAGGCGAACACAGGAGGCTCTCCAAAAGTACAAAGAGGTCTTGGCTGAGATGCTCGAGCGCGATCGTCCAGAGGAGATCAACACCAAGGTGATGCTGCTGCACAACATGATGTTGGCACATGTTACTTTGCTCAATGACCTGCCCGAGGTTGAGTTGGAAGTAAAGGCAGTCGTTGAGGAGGAGCTGTCCAAGGAGATCACTGGCAAGCCACAGAACATGCAGGAGCTGTCAAAGAAGGCGAGGGCAATGGCAAAGGTACTGACAGGTTTTCCTGCCCAGACCAACCCTAACGCAATCAAGTACATCGAGTTCTCGATTCAGGCCCTTCTACACATTGCTTTGACCGCTAACGAATCTCTTCAGATTCGCCACAACCAAGCCATCACATTGCCCAAGGAGAAGTTGTTAGACCCATTGGACGAGATCATACTCTACTACTACGATCATATCTTTACATCATTTGGACTCAACGATACATAGACGTAAAGGACTCTTGTTTTGTGGTTGATATCAAAATAGTAATAATATACATATATAGAGAGAAAGGGTTATTGTATTTATTACATGCACTATACTAGAAGCCAACATTTATCTCTAGTACCATTGATGGATCGATGGAAACTTGCTGGTCATAGTTTTGCTTACAGCTTCTGCATTCAATCAATAGCTGTTGGATGTTGGACGGTGAGGGGTAACCATTGAGACGCTCCTCGTCTGTCCATTCATGATCCAGATCAGAGCGCTTGATCCTTATTGGTTGTTGACGATAGAATATCTTGATAGATGGAACACCAGCTATATGACGATCACAGGTCAGTTTCCAAATGTTGGTGGTGAACAAACTCTGTTACTTACCAATCTCAGAGTTGGTCTCTCTGGCGTAGTCCGGGGAGGATTGATCAATAAAGAACACAGTAACATCCTTCTCCTTTGACAGCTGCTTAAAGTTGTTAGCGGTGTTCCTAGCCAAGTCAAACCAATCCACACAGTAAACCATGAATATCAGATGTGTATGATCCTCTTGTGCCACCTCAAGTGCCTCTGACAAGGTTGTAAACTTGAATGGCTCAGAGTATGACATCTTCAATCGCTGAACAATCATATTGGTAACATCTTTTGATGTCATTGCCTGTATCTCCCTATTGTATTGTGTTAGAAGCAATACTCCTCGTAGGGTCACCAACAACATACTCTTTCTTTATCGATTCATCAATCTTGGCATAGTCAATGTCATCATCATCATCTTCATCATCACTATCATCATCGTCATTGGTTGCATTGGCAGCCAATGATACACTTGACCTATATGATTGACCAGTACCTTGTCCACCAACACCAGCAGACTTTGTGTCTGCTGATGAAATGTCTTTGATATTGTAGGTATCGAACATCTGTTTGCTCTTGCTGTAGAAGTAAGGCAGAAGTTGTTTAGATGAGAGCACTCCACTATGCTAGCAGAAGGCTGATCAATACATACCTCTTTACCAACCATTTCTTAAGTGATTTCTTATGAAGTATCTTTAAATGATGATGCTTATCTGCCTTATCCTTCTCTTTATCCTTTAGTTTATCTTTCTTGTCTTTATCTTTCTTTTCCTTCTTGTCCTTCTTCTCCCTCTCCTTGTCCTTGACGAAGGAAACTGTGTTGTTCATTGTTATTTGTTGTTGTTGTTGTTGCTGTTGTGTATCTGATGTGTTTGATTCAAGTTTATCAAACTAATTAGTAGCCTGCCTGGTAATTATCAAGATGCAACAGTTCAATTTATTGCACAGTACATGATCTAGACACTAGGATTGTTGTTGTTGCTGTTGAAAGTATAAGTCCTTCTCCTTATTGACATCACGTAATAACTTGTTCAGATGGTCCTCTTTTGCTTTTAGGTATTGCTGTTCGGTCTGTAGTTCATTCTCAATGTGATTGTTCTCATGACTCAATGTCTTCCTACACTGATCCTCATTCATCTGTACAAATATATCGCCTGTGTATATCCACCGTTTGTTTCCTTTTCCAACGCTACTACTGCTGCTGCTGTTTGTATTCTTTTCCTCAAGAAGGTCAAGTGCTTCATGGTTGAGATTGCACCTTTGATCGAGATCTAATATCTATATAATAGGTCACATGTGAATGAATGACGTTAGGTTGTAGGTCAAGATGATTGTGTATGTGCCGGTCGTACTTTATCTCGATGATACTGTATCTCTTCAATAAGTTCTTCCTTCATTATATACACCTGTTCGAATCTACTACTACTACCTCCACTACTACTACTACTACTACCGCTGTTGATACTTTTGTTTGTTGACACCATCTCTTATCTATCTATCTTAACAATAATGAATGACAACAGCTGAACACAACAAACGAATAATCACTTGATATTTTTGATATACAATGGGAAACAGCCAACAATAGCATCCTTGCTTCACAATTTAATGTTCTGATCATCGTAGAGGTCACTATCATCATCGTCATCATCATCATCATCATCATCATCACAACTGGCATCGTCGTCACCATCCGAAGTCATTAGATCCTCCAACAAATCTTTCTGGAGGAATACCTCCTTCATCGAATCGAGTGTCTTGTTGATTTCAATAAAGGATGGCCTTTGGTTTGGTTCTCCGGACCAACAACGTGTAATTAATTCTCTCAGCCAGCTTGGACAGTCTGATGGAATGCTTGGTCTATAATTCTCGTAAGCTGCCTTGGAGCATGCCGAGACTCTAGTATTGTTACAATAATATATAAGTATATGTGCCTGAGGCCACCTAACAACAACAATTACTTACCCTTCAATATTCTCAAAAGGTACGCGACCAGTGAATATCTCATAGAGTACGAGTCCAAATGAGTAGACATCTACTTTCTCGCAATACGGCAGTCCTTTGGTGATTTCGGGTGGTCTCCACCTAGGATTGCATATTCCAGCCAATGTCATATCGTCCTCAATCTGTCTGGCTAATCCAAAGTCTGATATCTTGATGTTCTGGAAGTCGTCCAACTAAAGAGTGGAATAAGGGTAAGTCTTTGGTGATGATTTTGACAACTACCACAACCATTGAGACAATAAATTACCAATATGTTCTTGCTTGTTAAGTCCCTATGTAACATGGGAGGTGAAAGGGAATGGAGATGTGCCATTCCAACGGCCAAGTCCTTCATCATCTTGAACATCATGCTCTTGTCCAGCTTGACCTGCTTGACGTGTAACGCATCGTATAGGCTGCCACCAGACATAAACTCGGTAATTATGCAAGGTGGCTCCGTAACGACGCCCATGAACATTACTACATTCGGGTGGCGTGATTTACTAGACGTTTGTTAGATGAGGGGCGGTGCCATAATTTTGGTTCATTACATACATTAGGTTTCCAACCTCTCTGAGGAAGAACTTCTCTGTGATGGTGGGGTTCTTCAGCTTCTTAACAGCGATGCGATATCCATTCCATTGTGCCAACCATACTTTGGCAAAGCTACCCTCACCAATCTTCTCGCCAAACGCTATATCTTGATATTGTACAACATAGTCCCTCTGCTGTAGGAACTCTACGATCTCATCGTATCTCTCTTGTTTTCTTCTCTCTCTCTCAATCTCTTGTTCTTTGTCCAATGTCTGGTTTAAATTTAACGACGATTAGTACGAGGATGTTATTGTTGTTGATCAAATTAGAACATGTACACATACCCATAATACACCTCTGGAGGAAAAGAATACCTTTCCATCCAGGTGTTGAAATATCTTTAGAATCTCTGAGAAACTTGGACGTGCATCTGGGTTTGGTGACCAACATCTGTTTATCAACTTCCTAATGATCAGTGGATAGGACATGGGCAACCTAGGTCGCAAGTTCTCAAACGATACCTTGACTGCAACCATTGTTCCATCGTTGAACTAAAGTTATGGGAAATGTGTGTGAGATTGGAGAGAAGGGTATCCATGGCAGGTGATATCTTCGTACCTTGTTGAATGGAATGGTGTTTGAAAGCATTGTCCAGAGTATCAATGAATAGGAGTAAACATCCACTTTGGAGGTGATTGTCTGTGACTTTACAATCTCAGGAGCACGATATCTTGCTTCAATGACAGGGTCATTTGGATCGTTGGCATTGAGTCGAAGTCCACCAATCTTGATGTTTCTGTATCGATCAACATAGACATTGTTGATGGTGAGATTGCCATGACACACCAGGTCTGGTTGACTGTGCATAAAGTCCATTGTTATCGCCAACTCCTTGGCAATCTTGAGAAATGTGGCCATCTCCACCTTTACTCTATCGCGTATCAGCAGACTGTGCAAACTCTGACCCTCAAAATGCTCCATCAGTATGGAGTGATGTGGCTGTGTGTAGTATCCAACAGTGTTGATGATGTTTGGATGGTTGAGACTCTGAAGATAACTGGTGTACGATTCAAAGCTGCTCGTGATGTTCTTACAGTTGTTGCTATACTGCTTCAGTACGTACTTGTTGTTATCGCCTCGCCAACTTGCCTCCCATACGACAGAGTGTTTGCCCTCGCCTATCCTTCGTTTGATTGTAATGTCGTTGGGGTCAATGGGTACAATCTGTCGACACTCCATCGTGCGTTGGTACTGTTCGATCTTTGAGCGTTCAATCTCAAACTCAGATACAGTGTCATCGAACCATGAGCAGTTCAAAGACATTGAGGCTGTCATTGACGTCGATGATTGACCAAGGTTGTTGCTGTTTGAGTTGAGAGGATTGCGTCTGGGTGAAACATGAACGGCCGCTCTGATCTCCAAAGGACGAAGCTCATGCTTTAGTTCCTGAAGGAATCTCCTTCCAGAAGGTGTGTTTGCTCCGCTGTTGGTCGATTGTGGTTGCAGTCTTGGCGACATCCATTTGGTAGGAGGTGATTGTGGTGCAAATATTGCCAGTAAGCTCTCAACAGTGGCGATATCATTGGAAAGCTTGGGAGCTAAAGTAAGTACGAGCGTAATTACATACTGGTGGAATGAATACATACATTTATGATTTGTAGATCAAGACATGATCTTTCAAACTCGCTATTCTCCTTTCCTTCTAGTTGTGCAATCTGTTGCCTGAGATGATCACGTCTCTCACACATCAGGGCAAGGTCTCGCTTGTGTGTATTGACACGATCCATGACCTTGTTATCCAATGATATTGGGCTGTCCTCGCTGCTTCGTCTAATTGATCTAAAGTCAAGTTCAGTGACCAATGATTTCCCACTTGAGATTGATGATCGTCTCTTGGTGCCAGTCTCTACACTGGCACTGAGTCGACTGATACCAGAACTGCCTGTACTATTACTACCTCCATAGTAGTTATTATTATTATTGTTGTGTTTACTTGGGGATGATGGTGCTGTTGTGGAAAGTGTTGGTGGTGATAAGGATAGAGGCGAGTTGTTTAGATTTATAGGTATGCCAACGGATGACTGACTGTTGCTCAATCGTCTGTAGGATGTTGGTGATGATCTACGAAAGTGGTCCAATTGCTTATTGATAAGGCTGTCGTCTTGTGCAAATTGTTGAATGTAATGTTGTTGTAGTATCAGTTGTTGTTGTTGTTGTTGTTGATGGATGTTATTGAGGACAGGTGATAGACTTGGTGAAAGCATTCCATTGTTCAGTAGATATGATAAACTGTGCTGCTGCTGTTGTTGTTGTTGTTGTTGTATGTCATTAACACTTGAGTTTGACATCAAACTGTTGCTTCGTGACCTGGTTGCCACTACGTTGTTGTTACTCTGAGAGTTGATACTGTTGTTGCTATATTTGTTGTACTTGTAGTTCCTTCTCTTTTCTCGCTCAGACTCAATGTCGTCAGTGAATACAAGAGTCTCTTCCAGATCCTCAGCAATGTCATTGCTGGATGAGCTACTACTACTGGTGTCAATGCTCATGACACTATTCACATCAGCATCGTCATCTTCATGACTATGCAACAGGATACCATTGACATTGTCCAGATCAGAGAGTGTTGAGCCACGTGGAGACCCCAGGTCTTGGAATTGTTGAACATCGTCATTGTCAGTGTAGACAACGGGGTTATAGTGATTGCTGCTGCTATTGTTACTGTCATCGAGATAGAATGGGTAGCCATTTGATTCCAGTGCTTCACGTTGTGGTGTCGAGTAGTTGATGTGACATGATGATGACATTGTCGATGTTGTTGACGCTGATAAAGAGTGTGTCAATGATGACATTGTTGTTGTTGTTGGAATGTCTGTCTTTAAGAAAAAATCACCTTCATGATGTTGATTACTGATGCTACTGTTTATAAACTTGGACGGTGGAAGGTGATCTATATATGATGTTATTGTTGTTGTTGTTGTTGTTGTTGTCATTGGAGATCGACCAACAGAATGTCTATTGGGTGAATCAATATCCTCTTGAATCATTTGTTGTTGTTATTCTTGCTATTGTTGAGTCTGACCAACTTAAGATGATGATGATGATGTTGTTTGGTTGAATGAATATTATTACAGATTATTTGTATGACCATGAGCAATATGTGATAGCAATCACCTACGTATGCAAACATAAGAGATGAGATTGAGTTGTGTGTATGTACCCCACCAATCAACACATACACACACGAAACTGATCAGCTAAAATCTTCGAATTGATCGGTTATACGAATGTGGGAGGTGGTAATGAAAAAAACAGTGTGATTGGAATTCAAAAAACACCATTTTTGGTAAAAACAAGTGATGATCATAACATATTGTTGGGGCGCTTTAATTGTTGTTGAATAATCATCGATCTGTCTGAATCATCGATTGGTCGTTTCAATGTTGCAGAAGTGGTGGTGGTTGGCATTACCTCCATTGGTGCTGAACTGTCTTCTTCATTGTATATAACCAAGTCACCATTTTCCATGCCGCCGACTTCTCCGCCTTTGTTGTTGTTGTCCTCACTTCCTGTGGTAGCCTTTTTTGCAGCTGCCTTCTTCTCTTTCAGTTTCATTCTTTTGTCTTTGTTCTTTTGTTGTTTCCTTGCAATGTACTCTTGCTCCTCTTCTCGCATTCTTGCATCATGCTCCTCCTGCTGTTGTTTGTGGTGTTGGAATCGAGTGGATTTGTTCATATGTGTGCGGAACTCATGGTCGGTGAGTGATGCCGAAGTGAGAGTCTGTCCATCAACGATAACTTTCCCACTGGTAATCAGATCGTGTGCACTGTCTCTCTCCTCTGCCGTCTTGAAACGAAGTATTGCCTGACCAGCACCCTTGAAGTAGTCGACAAAGACAGCATTGAAGTTCTTGTCCAACTGTTTCCAAAGGAATGGTTTGCTAGTCTCACTGGCAATACCCTCTATCTTTAGTAATCGCTTGTCAATGCCATCATGATGATTGTGGTGGTGGTGATTGTCCATTTCCTCTTGAGACTGTTTATGAGGTCCACCATTATGATGATGATGATGATGAGGTGCTTGTTGTTGTTGAATGATCTTAAATTGATTCTTTTTGTCTAACCATTCTAACCTGTTTCCCAATGTGTAGTTAGGTTTAAGTAAAGGACTCTGTGAATGTGATAGATGGATGATCTTACTTTGAGAGTATTCTGAGGTTGAACCTATTGTCAGAGTTGGTTCTGATTGTGCCAATAGCATTGACTGCATCCTGTTTTTGATTGAACTCTACAAAGGCAAATCCCTTGGTACGTTTATCCGGTAGCCTAGGTATTGATATATTGTCAATTGTACCCAATGTAGATAGTAATTGATGTACTTGTTCATGAGTAGCTGTCTCTGCAATTGGTTCCTGTATGTATGTATGATGTGTCAGAGATATAGAGTGCACTGTATGACAAGACTAGTTACATACAATATAAATAGTTCTTTCATCAATACTCTGTTGTAACTCCTTTACGAATACGAAAGGTGATTTACGCTTGATCGCTGACTTGTCCTCGTTGGTGGTCAGTGTATTATTATTATGTACAAAGTGTTCACTTGAGATCACTTCAATGAGAGCATCCTTTGTTGTTGTTGTTGTTGTTGTTGTTTGTTGTTGATCTTTGATAAGATCATTTAGCATTGATGTGAGTTTGTTGAACGTCAACAATATATCAAGTGAGATCCCTAATCAATCAATCATTAGATGTGTCAGTCAATCAATCAATCAATCAGTAAGTTGACGTCATTAATATACATACATCCTTGATCAGATTGCTGTACAGACTTTGACAAGAACTTATCCTTGATCAAGTTTGAGTCTGAGAAGTAGAACTCTAACTGTTCAACAACTAGTCTATATCTATTCATGTGTGTGTCTGTCATTGTTGTCTGAAGTAGTTAACTGAACATCGATGTGTCTGATGAACTTTGCAGATTCTATTGTGTTTTTATTAATCAAAGTCCCATCAATCGAGAGTCTTAACGACATTAGTTGAAACACTGTTTATCTTATTATTATGCACAGGTTGTCATATCTGGTTAACAAGAACAACAACTTGACTAAAAGGTTATTGTTTAGATCATCCACAACAACATACAACAACAACAACATCACTGCTGCTACTGCTGTTAAATCCTGCTGGTCTAGTATTACCTGTTGCCCTATATCACCAACAACAACAACATTATCGTCATCAAAGTCGTTAGGTCGTTCGTTATATTCTACAACAAACGACATCAATCGCCACACCAGAATGGAGAACAAAACAGACAACATAACAACACCAGCCGTGGCAGCAGTAGGCAACAACACCGAACCACCCAAGATCTCAAACCCTTTGGTCACTGAGAAAAGAGACTACGATGGTGCTGTACAAGCTCTATTCTCTTTACAGTCAAATGGTGCCACCATCGTTGACTGGGCAAATAAGAGAAAGATGAATAAGATCGATACTACCAAGGCATTGATGGACGAAATGGCTTCATTCTGTCAAATGCTAGACATTGATGTAAGAGACTCTCCAGCTGAAGTTGTCTGTTACTGACTGACATTTATGCATCTTTAGATGGATATGAAGAACGTGATACACGTTGCAGGTACCAAGGGTAAAGGTTCAACCTGTGCTACGATAGAGTCCATTATCAGACACCAAGGATTCACCACTGGACTTTTCACCTCGCCACACCTGATATCCATCAGAGAGCGTATAAAGATCAACGGTGAGTTTGTTGATAAGGACCTATTCTCCAGACATGTTTGGTATTGTTTTGACATGTTTGAAAGAAACAAGTTGGTATGTTTCCTTCCTTTCTCCCCACGGTCGAGTGATGCTAACTGTTGTTACTCCTCAAGAGTCCACCTCCTTACTTCAAGTTCCTGACTCTGGTGGCGTTGCGTATCTTCCAAGATCTCAACATTGAATGCACTATTCTGGAGGTTGGAATCGGTGGTCGTGCAGACGCTACCAATATCATTCACCATCCCTCTGTGACCGGTATCACCTCTCTTGGATTTGATCATATGAATGTGTTGGGTGACACATTGCCAGAGATCGCAGCAGAGAAGGCTGGTATCATCAAGACTGGTTGTCCAATCTTTACTGTCAACAGTCAGAGGTCAGATGCAATGGAAGTCATCAAGAACAATGCAACTGAAGTTGATGTAAGTTTATCTGACCCATATATATTGGATCTTGTCTAATTCCTTTTCAATTTAAAGGCACCATTGATCATTGTACCAAGATTGGATCAATATGATCAAGTCGTTGAGGTTGGATTGGAAGGTGATCACCAGAAGGAGAATGCTGCACTAGCCATTGCCATGTCAAATTGTTGGATTATGAGCAATCAGTCAATATCAAATGACAAACGACAATCAATTTTCAACAACAACCTGTGGAGCCAGTACAACCCAAAGGACAATAACTATAGCACAAGCTATTTCCCATCCTCTCCTCTCACATTCAAAGAGGGTCTGCGCAGTGTTCAATGGCCTGGCCGAGCACAACACATTGTAAATCCATTGGACATTCCCAACTTGGACCTCTATCTGGATGGTGCACATACACCAGAGAGCTCAATCATATGTCTTAATTGGTGGCGCTCAAAAGTGGCGTCAAGCACACCTGACAAGGATATATTGGTGTTCACATTCAACAGCACTGGAGGAAGGAATCCAACAACATTCCTTCAGCCCTATGCCGATGCCATCAACAAAAGAGAGATGCCTCCTTTCCTCTATGGTGTGTTCCCTGCCATTATATTGGATGGCGGTCCAACCAAGACCTCCAACTCTCACATCTCCAACAACTATGAAGATCAGAAACAGACGTGGGAGCAGAACCTGGCGATTATTTTCTCAGGTCTCTGTAAGATGGACGCTGACCATCTCATCCCATGCTCTAGCATTGACGAGGGTGCTCAGAAGATTAAGGATTTGGCAGCTCAACACCCAGATAAGAGAATCAAGGTTCTGGCAACAGGTTCACTTTATCTCGTCGGTGGTCTTCTCAAGCAATTCTCCAAAGAATGCAGCGATTAACCGATAACAATATTATTATTTAAAAGGTGGTTCCCTGATAGGTGCTTATATTATGCATACAACATCGATGAAGCCTTTTCTCTAGGCCTCATTCGAGTTTATTCTTTCTTTGTCTCTCCTGATTGCTTTGTGCTCTTGGTCTTGGTTGTCTTAGCCTTGGGGGTTTTGGAGGCAGCGGCCTCCTTCTTGGGTTTCTTTGCCTTGGTACTTGACTTGGACGGTTTGTCTGTAGGGGACTTTGGTGTTGTGGAGGGGGCAGCTGGAGTTACTGTTCCATTATCTCCTGTTGGTGACGTGGTGGTAGGTGGAGGAGATATCACTGCAGGAGTGGAGGGACTGTCTGTGGAGGAAGGGTTCTTGTTCCTCTTGAAACCTGGCTTGGGACCCTTCCTCTTTGGAGGATCTTTGGGTTTGGCAATGTCTGTTGTCGATGTTGCAGTGGTCGATGTTGTTGCTGTTGCTGCCGCCTTTGATCCCCTGCCTTTGGTAGGCTTAGTAGTGGTTGGAATATCGCTCGGCGAGAATGGCTTGTCCTGTACAGTCGCCTCAGCTGATGACCTCCTCTTACCAGTGACTGGATCAATCTCTCTTCGAACTAAATGAAGCATATCCTCTGTTAGTTCTTTGTCATTTGTAACTGCCAACAGTATCCTATACGTACGTTTCTCCTCAACCTCGTCATCATCCAACAAGAATGAAACGACCTCGGTTGGTCGCATCTCGTTCTCGAACTTGCCTCCTGCAATCACAATCGATTGTATCTGTATGTATTGTTAGTGGATGTACAATTTGATCAAATATTTGTTGTACAACATACCTGATGCTTTTGCTTGGCTCTCTTGATGACTCTCTCCTCCACTGTACCCTTGGTGACCAAACGGTAAACAGTGACTGGCTTCTGCTGTCCCAGTCTATGACATCTGTCCATGGCTTGTTCATCCATTGTAGGGTTCCAATCACTGTCAAAGAAGATGACAGTGTCTGCTGATGTCAGATTGATACCTATACCACACGCTCTGGTACTGAGCAAGAAGACAAAGATGGAGGGATCGGTTTGGAAGTCGTCCACAAGGTCTCTTCTATCCTCCAACTTGCTGGAACCATCCAATCTTAGATATTTGTACTTCCTAAAGATTACAAAGTCCTGTTTGATTATGTTGTTGTTAGTAACTGTCTATATGTTAATTAATGATCTCTCTAACCTTACCTCTAGAATATTGATCATCTTGGTCATCTGACAGTAAATGAGCACCCTGTGACCTTCCTTCTTGAGCTGGCGCAATAGCTTGTCAAGGACCTGAAGCTTGCCACTATCGTTCAACGACTTGGAGAATGATGGTATGAAGATGGACGAAGAACCAAAGATCTTGTGTAGACCACCCATGAGGCCGTGACCGTCCATGAATGTGTCGATCGTGTTGGAAGTGGATGATGAAATGCACTCCAAAGTGGTTGGAGTGTGAGCTGTGAGCTTGGTAGAGTTGGTGAATCCAAACATGAGCTGGTTCTCCAAAGGACTAAACAGAGACATGTCCTTTTGCTGTACGAGGAAAGATCGATCTGGACAACTCCACTCAATGGGACAGGCAATGGCATTGGGATAGAGGGTGAATGTCGACTGGATGATCGATTGGTTCGATTGGCATCTCTCGATAGGTGACTCAATCAAGTGACCGAGGATTGCGGATGACGTTGTTTCCAACGAGTGGTGGGCCAACGGCGAAATGAATGTTGGTTGGAGCAGCATACTCTTGACCTGGAGTGGAAGGTCATCGCGATAGTTGTCATATACGTAGTGTAATACGGGGTCTCGTTGCAGTCTTTGAGTCTCATCATCCAGATACAACTCGAGCAGTGACTCATGGTGCTTTCTTGAGAGCTGACCTGGTGAAAGGTCGATGAGAGCGACAAAGGAAAAGAGTGACGCCAATGAACGGTCACCTTGGTCCAATGATTGGCCGATGTAGTGCGGAGTGAATATTGAAAGTGTAGAGTGCAAGATCTTATCGCGTAGCTCGTTCGATCCGTAGGAGAAGGCGAGACCTGGCGTGCCATCCCTAAAGATGAGCTTGGGCATGACGTACTCAATTGGATTGCGATTGGCAATGTTGAGTGTCTTCTTGTACTCTGGTATCAGCTCTCCAAATGGTACGTAGCTCTCTGACTGTACCTGTTGGAACTGGTAGGGGGAGCGACACTCACTGCGCTCAAACAACTCGGGGTGGTTGCACACCTTTCTGAACTGCATGACCAAGTTCATGAGATGCTTCATGCCACTCTCTGACAGACTGTTGTTGAGCAGCTCAGACAGCGATATCTTGGCACGAACACCTTGATACAGCTTCTTCTGTCGCACGGTGAGCGAGCACGCAACCTCAACCTCGCGCTTTGGTGGCATCTCATTCTCTACGTCCTTCTTGATTCTACGAAGCATGAAAGGCTTGAGGATAAGGTGTAGTCGATTGAGCTGGTGCTCGTTCAGTCCACCCTGTGTCAGTGCATGGTTCTCAATGTCCTTGGAGAACCACTCTGCAAACTCATCATGTGAGTCAAAGAGGGTGGGCATGATGAAATGCAGCAGAGCCCACAGCTCGGCCATGCTGTTCTGGATAGGTGTACCAGTCAACAGCAGACGGTTCCTGCAGTTGAAGCTCATGAGAGTCTTCCAACGATTGCTTGATGAGCTCTTGATTGCGTGTGCCTCATCCAGCACCATGTACTGCCAACGGATGCGGTGGAAGTACTTCTCGTCGAGTACCATGACGTTGTAGCTTGTGATCAACACGTGGAAGGGAGAGTTCTGATGGTAGAGCTTCTTGGGATTCCAGTACTTCCTGATGGTCTGGCGCTGCTTCTGATTGCCCCAGTAGGGAAGCACTCGGAATGTTGGAACGAATCGGGCAAACTCATTCCTCCAGTTGTGCAATGTGGACTTGGGCGTGACAATGAGGAATGGGCCCCAAATGTTCTTCTCTTCGGCCAAGTGTGCCAACACGGCGATCGATTGGATGGTCTTTCCCAGACCCATCTCATCGGCAAGGATGCCATTGATGCCTTGGTCGTAGAGGTTGACGATCCAGCTCATCCCCTTGAGCTGGTAGGCTTTCAGGTCTGCCTTGAGTATGGTTGGTTGATTGAGCGCATGAATGTTCAGTGTCTTGCTCAACTCCATCTGTTCATCACCCATGATCATTTTGTCTCCCTCGCCAGAGGCAACTGTCGTAGTGGTGGTTGTTGTGGTCGTCGCAGTCTCAGTGAGCGAATCTTCCTTGAGCTTGACAAAGTCTTTATCAAAGGCATCTGTCTTTTGGAGCTGCTGATCGATTGCCATTGATGATATCTTCTCGGCCTCCACCTTGTATCTCCTCTCCTCCTCCTTGTCCTCCTCGTCTAGGTCATCGTCATCGTCATCGTAGTCATCGTCGTCATCGTCAGAAGAGGAGTCGTCTGCTGTCGCTACCTTCTGGGCCTCAGTGTCGGCACTGTGGCTAGGTCCAAGCTTCTTGCTCATGAAATGACTGTAGAGCTCGGTCTGTGTGAGAAGGAAGTTGAGCTTCCTCTGTTGTCGCTTGGCCTCACGGGCCTCCTCCACACGCTTGCGCTGGGCAGCCTCCTCCTTCTCTGCTCTCTTCTTTGCCTCACGCTCATCCTTCTCGTACTTCTTCCAGTACTGTCCCATCTCTTTGACCAGCTTCTTTGAACGCAGCTGAAGGTCCTTGACAGGCTTGGGCTGTTTGATGACCCTCTTCTTTATCTCGGATCTCATTGTGGATGCCAGCTTCTTCGAGTTGACCATGCCAGTCTCGTGGTTGGTCGTGTACTTCTTGTGTGCCTTTGGAAGCTGCTTTTTGATGAGCTGTGACCACTTGGTGTCGAATGAGCTATCCAGCTCCCTGATGTAGCCATACTTGCATCCCATGGACGTCATCTTCTTCTGCTTGGCCTCCTCCTCTAACCTCAGTCGCTCCTTCTCCTTCTCTCTCTCCTTTTCCTTCTCTTTCTCTTTCTCTCGTTCCTTCTCCTTCAGTCGCAGCTCTCTCTCCTTCTCCTTCTCCCTTTCTCTCTCTTTCTCTCTCTCCTTCTCTCTCTTCTTGTCCTTCTCTCGCTCCAGCAACTTGTCCTTCTCCTTTTCTTTTTCCTTCTCTTTCTCTTTCTCCTTCTCTTTCTCTCTCTCCTTGTCCTTATCGCGCTCGATGATGACCTTGTCCTTCTCACGATCCTTCTCCCTCTTTCGCTTCTTCTCCTTCTCCAGCATCTCTTCAAACTCATCATCTGAGAACTCTTGATCACTAAACAGTCCCTTGTAGTTGCTTGTTGTGAGAGGCACTCCCATGTTTGGTTTCTTCTTGGCAGATGAGGAAGAAGTGGCAGAGGCAGCCAACAATGAAGGACCAGTGGATTGGAACGGTTGCTGTTGTTGTTGTTGTGGCTGCTGTTGTTGTTGAGGCACTTGAGATGACATCTTGATCTTGTCCATTAGGATCTTGTCCTTGTCCTTGTATAGATCTATCTTCTTCTTCTTCTTCCTCTTGCTATCGCGATCATTCTTCTCCCTCTGGATGTCATTCTCAAACCTCTTCATCAGTTTGACCTTCTTTCTCTCCTTCTTGTCATCGATTGAGTACTCATCATACCCATTCAGGTCCTTGGCGTACTCCTATTAAGGATAGAGAGGGATAATGAGTTAGCTACTTATGTACATAATGTGTAATAACTCATATTTGAAATACATACATTCAATACCTTCTTGCGCTTGAGACTCTTCTCCTTGACATGCTCCTTGAGCATTGCTTGGTATTCGCTCTCTGATATCATTGGCATCTCTCCCTCAGAGTCAGAGAATGGTATGTCTTGGATAGCTGCAACTTTAGAAGTGTTGTTGCCGCCATTGGACTTGGGTCTCCTGCTGCCACTGTTGCTGCTAGGGGCACTGCTGCCACCACTGCCACTGCTCGAGTACGTTGGCAGGTATCCACTTGAGGAGCCTAGTGAAAGAGGAGGGGGAGGGGAGCCCAATGTAGAGGATGCATAGGTCGTCATATGTTTGTCATTGTCATGCTCTGTGAGAAGGTCAAGAATCTCTTTCTTTTGCTTCTTTGATACCCTGGAGCCTGAGAAAGATGATAGAGAAGGTGATTGTCTGGGTGATGACGCTGACGCTGACGCTGTTGTAGCTGGCAGATGCTTTTTCACCGAGCTACCACTGTCCCCCAAACCACTCTTTGAACTAGTACTACTGTTGAGTGCTTTGGAGGAGTATGACATCGAACTGGTGGACGTCCTCAACTGTGTGGGCCGTTGATTGTAGATGTTGCCGCCACTCTGTCCAATGCTGCCGTGGTGACCATGTCCGCCACTACTACTGTTGATACTGCTAAAGGCACTGTGCGAGTTGGACGTGAATTCAAAGGGATTACCAATGGCCGTTGGAATGTCCTCGGAGGAGTTCAATATGGATGAGATCGATGACTTTGGTGCCATTATACTGCTGCCACCATAATGCGTATGTCTGGGTAATATATCATGATGTTGTTGCATGGGGTTTGGAGAGGGCGACCTTGATCGGTGGTATGAGGAGTGACCAATTGGAGGGTCATGATGTAACATGTGTCTGGAATGACTACTACCACTACTGCCGCCTCCATGTGTCGTGTGTGTTGACGTTGTCGTTGTTGTTGTTGTTGGTGGAAAATAATGTTCCGTCATTGGTTTCTGCAGGATGTGATGAGAGCGTGTTGGTGAGGGTGATCTGCTGCGTGTGGTGTTGAGTCTATTGTATCGATTGTAATTGGTGATGCTCAAGGGGCGTGATGATGGCTGTGCAGTCTGTGGCTGTGGCGGTGGCTGGGGTGACCTTGACCTTGATCTCTCATGGCGATGATGGTAAGAGGTCGTCGTCGTGGTGGAAGGGGAGGAGTAAATGTCATACTCCTGATCCAGTTCATCATTGTCAGTGTCGGATAATGACGGGAACATGGATGTAGTTTGGGTGTGATGCCTCTGTTGTTGTTGTTGTAGCATTTGCTGCTGCTGCTGCAGTTGTCTATGTCTCTGTTGTTGTTGTTGCAGTAGTTGTTGCTGTTGTTGCATTTGGATCTGTTGCTGCAAGAGTCTATCGTCATCGGAGGATGTATCACCATCGATCAAGTCAGCCAGACGATCAACGTGACGAGGATTGGTATTGTAGCGACTGGATTGCATTTGATATGAAGACCTTCCAATTGGTGGCAATGCTCCACTAGTGCTGCTAGTAGTTGAGTCTGACCTCGCTGAGGATGAAGACGATCGGTGTTGTTGTTGTTGTTGTTGTGGTAGTTGTGCATTTAAATAGGCATTACCACTGGCACTATTGCTCAGATTCTTCAAAGCAAACAAAGTATCAAAGGTATCGTCATTGGCTCGAGTCCGACCTACTTCACCACCTCCAGATGTACTTGTGCGTAGTTCTGGAAGTGTGTGATGTTCACTCATTCTGTTACTGCTGTTACTGTTGGTGGATGTATGTGAACTGGTATATTTATTGCTGCTGATATTATTATTATTATTATTGTTGTTGTTATTATTGAAGTTCATCTTTTCATTGAATGACCGAGATGATGGTCATCAACATCTCTCTCTTGTACTAACTCTATCTATCTATCTATCTATCTATATCTTTAACAAACAAACAATTTTGTTAAACAACAAAGAAATTAACAATAATACAAACAACAAACATTAAACAGATCGTTCACAACTGTTGTTGTTGTGGAGTTCACTCATTAGGTGATCATGCTGGGTGTTTGTTGTGAGTCTCATCTCATCATCCTAATATAAACAAATATATTTTTGGAGATATCCATTATTAAATAGGGTTTGAAACGCACTTTACTCCTTGCTGTTTTAAATATTTAAAATAAGGGGGGATTGGTTCGGTGTGAACAAGAACACCCATTTGGAACAAATAATAATTAGTTTTAATGGAATTACATGTAGCAAGTGGAGATTTTGTGAGATTGATTAAGGAAAATTATTTATATTTTTAATAATTTTAGTATTGATATAAATATAGTCATGAAACTTCTCTATCGATTGATATTAACTAATAATAAATAAAATATAATTATCAATTATAAATCGGTCAAAATGCAACTTTGTCATCCAAAAATGAAAGGATGCGATAGTCTCTCTTTCTCTCGACCATTATCCCTCCAAGGACCTGTATCCCATTCACCAAATAAAAGGTTTCAGAGTGTCCATAAGGTGGATAATGGAACCTTTCTTTTGTAGTTATTAATCATTCATTAACTCAAACATTTAAGCATTCAATCAATCAATAATTCAATCAAACAATAAAATAAAAAAAAAAATCAACAAACAACTCATGGCAATAATGTTTGGAAGTGATAGAGCTGTAGTGAGAGTAGTTGTTAGTAATTCCACTCCACTGCCGCTTGGTTACCTTTGTTTGGTTACACTTTGGATATTTAAAAACAGCAAGGAGGTAAAGTTGAAAAGAACAGAATGCGCCTGACCCAGATCATTTTCAACAGTTCCTCGATGACTTTAATCATTGGTTAGTTGGTCGAGGTAAGGAAGAAGATCACTCAATCACACCATGGGGACGCCAACCACCTCATCCATCAATCACAACCTATCTCAAGACATTCATAGACAACAGAACAGACTTTATCAATGAGATTGATCGACTAAACACATTCACACGTATCGACAATGTGACATTGGATACGGCTTATCTCTACTTCAAGTACATTGTTCGTGGTCGCATCGATGATCCATCAACACTYGGTTACCTTAAGGAATGGGACACCATGTTCACKAAGGTGCGWCGWGAAGAACAGGAACTCTATGGTATATCTGATGATGCGGCTGTTACATTGGACTACTTGAACAGTGAGTACAATGCTGCTGGACCGCCGTCACGAACCTATCAAGCACTGGCAGCCAGTAAGCTCCCCAACATGATGTCAGAGTTCTCTGCTCTACTGAAACAGCGTGACATTGATCGATTTGAACAGAGAGGTGACTCGGGCAATTACCCTGACACAGTTGATGGTAGGAAGGCAGCAGCAGAGTATCATCATAAATGGAAATCTACAATCATCGAGCAACGCATTCGTCGTAATCAACTCTTCACTCAACTGTCACAACACCGACAAGAACGCAAGGACATCAACGCACTACTCTCGGACTATGAGGCAGAGGAGTACACACGCGACAGAGACACACTGGAGGGCCTACTAAAGACCCAGGCCACACTCAAGAGTACTCTATCCAATCTAAAGAACCGATTCGAGCGAGTCAAACAGTTGGGTATGTATGAACAGTTCATTTCACCCGTCGATGCCAAGGCAATCCAGGATAAGATCGATGCAAGAGAAGCTGACCAACTTAAGGTCAAATCAATGGTAACTGACCTCGCTTCAAGGTTGGGTCTCGATAACGACGAGAAGAAGTTAGGTCTCAAAACATACAGGATGGAGATCTATCGCAAACACCAATGACAATCAGTGTTGGGGATGTGGTCGATGCTCAAGGCAAGGATGATTCTTTCCTCAATACGCCACCAAACGTCTCAAAGGTGCTCACCAAGTTCATATTGAGCAATGATCCCCAGGGTGAGCAACAGTTGGTTCTATCAAATGCCGACGTAAGTTCATCGCCGACACCATACATGAGAAGACTGGGATTGATCCATTCAATCACATCATCCGCCAGTACCACCCACCTGATGATGTGCGTGCACTAATTGATCGACATTTGTTCTCCAACAATCAAGGCAGGGTGGAGTGGTTGAACAGGACCACACGAGAATACAAGGAACGCGATACAATGGCCTTAGGTATGACCATGACAGACGATGATATTAAACAGATGCATGCAACGAGGTCGGCAACAATACTCAACACACTGCAGCGATGGGGAAGAGACTTGTTGGATACAAACAAACGCAATGCCATACCAGTTGAAGACCGACGTCGGTTGGAACTCTACTTCACACAACTCAACATGCAACCAGACAGTGCACGTGGGGATACTGAACCAGACGAACGCACCAAGTCAACACTGGCAAGAGTTGTCGAGAAACATGCGAATGAGCAACGAGTCGAACAACTGAACCATCGACTTGTCCATGATATTGACGACGATGATCATCTTAACCGTGCAGTGGTGGTCAACTCTATCGCCAAGCTTGACAAAGACGTTGGTCGAGTCGACAAGCAATTGGAGCATATCCTGTCTGGTGGAGATCTTGGTAAACTCCCCATCATCGGTGGTGGTGATGGTGGTGTTGCAGAAGATGATGATGCAACCAAGCTAAGAGTTCATGACAAGGAGGTAAGCAAATCATTGGTTGCCTACTGGGAGAAGATAACAAGCGACAGAGATAGAATCATCAAAGAGACATTGGGAGAGAATCAACGAGAGATTAACAAAGTGGAAAACCTATCCAAACAGTTCAACAGGATAACATCTAAAGCAAATCTCAAGAGTATTGATATCAACAATGTTGTGATCAAGTTTGATAAGATGCAACAAGAGAAACAGACACTGGTTGATGCTGTCTCTCAGTTTGATCAATCGTTCCAACCCGACCAAGTAATCAATCAACTCAAGGAACTGTTCCGTCCATACTCTGATGCATTGGCAACTATTAAACGTAATGGAACAGACGAGATCGTCACTCAGTGATTGAATAAATGACTATTTCTAGAATTGCCAACAACATCTCACTCTCCTTTCATATGACGTCTGGATCAGTTCAGCGATCAGCAAAACAACAACAACATATAGATAATAACAATCATGTCATCACAATACTCGGATATCATTCTCACTCCAGCGAAGTCTTCTGTAACCCGGTACCCCTGGTCCACAGAAGATGGGTATGCATGAAAATATTATTAAATATCAATAAATTAAATTAAATCCTTTTTTGGTAATGTCTATTAAATATGAACTGCTTTTGTCCCCCTGTCACAGACCTTTATCTTATTTGTAATAAAAAACACAAGACAGTTTATTAGAGTCATAATACATACCTATACATATACTTAAACTTATACATATACATAGATATACATAGTTATACAAACATAGAGATACATACACATAGATATCTTTGTTCACCATGAGATGGACAACAAGGTATTCCATTTCAAACTTGATCGGATGTTGGCTCACAACAACATGGAAACAATAGCAAAGGCAGCACCAAAAGTACCAGTCTGGCATGTCAAGTATCTAGTAGTCAGCCAACAACATCAACAACAACAACAAACAGTCGACTGCTTGGCAGCCACCTTGATGTGAGACCTTCGAGTCAGCCATCAATTCTTGTTGGCACTCAACATCAAGAGTGTAGGCCCAGCCTGAAGCAATGGGATGAGAGTTTGGTCAGTAGTTATGTGAGTCGATCACCATCGGGACCTACCAAACCTTTGATATGTGGCATCAGAGATGAAGGCAGAGAGGGTGACACTCGTGCTCCCTCAGGCCTCGATGCATTGTTGTCTGCGGTCAATGTTGCTTCTGAAGTTATCTGCTGTGATGACCATGATGATGGTGATGTTGTTGTGCAGTCCACTCAACAGTCTAGTAGAGCAGTCAACTTGCTCACAGCTCAACCAGATCGTCCTACTTTCTGGCTCCCTGGAAGCAGCACAGCAGCAGCAGCAACAGCAACTATAACAACGATAACAGTGGCAACAGAGGTGTCAATAGCAGCGGCAGCAGTAACAGGAAGAATAGCATTTTCAGGTGCCTTCACAGCGGTTGCAATACTCACAGGATCCGGCACACAAGGAGCATCATGACATGTGTGGCGTTGACTGCCCAGGATGCGCCAATGGTTAGACAGACATGTAAGTAACAGAAGTGTACATTTGTCAACGCGTTTATGTGACAATGATAAATAGACACTGACATTTGCTTGACCTTTTTTGTAGTGTTAGACGCAATCAAGAGGAGAGAAGGTATTAGTACATTTGTGATCGACACTGCCATCGCTTCTGGGCTGAATGCAAGTGGCTACAGCAACATCCGATACAACATTGTTGATATTTGGACAACAGAGCAACCATCAAGTTGCCGAGATGTAGAGAACAATCTAAAGCGTTGGATGTTCACAAGTGCATCATCTGCATCATCAGATGACTGGTCACAATCACAACAGCAGCAAGATACGACACTGATTGAGGAGATGGAAATTGAGACAATCTTCAACGGCAGCAGTAACAACAACAACAACAACAACAACAAGTAACACCAACAGTCCGATCAATCAATCGATGTAGCAACAAAAGCAACAACAACTACATCATTACGATCTTGAGCGGAGGTCATCATCACTCCGTCCTCATTGGCCATCAACAATCCAAGGCTGTGATCCACATTGATTCGTTGGTTTGGAAACATCATTTGGCAATGGCCACATCGATTGTTAACCAATTCAACAATGCTATTGACAACGAAGGCGCCAGCAGCAGCAGCAGTCAGGCATTTGGAGCTACATCACAACTCGAAGCCGATCCAAACTGACAACTGGAGTTGTGGACTGATGACCATTAACTTTGCCGAGTATGTTGTCGAGCATTGGGACAGGACATCAAGTAGCAGCAGAACAAGCAGCAAACAGGTGGATGCAATCATCAGCGAACTGGAGGATGCTCAACCAAGTCACATAATCAATACAGTTGTGGACAGACACCTGACGACCTTCTTGGACAACCACATTAACAATGGCTCCATTTATGACACACCAGCAAGAGTGGATACAGACCGACCAACGAAGAAGAGGATGGCTCCGTCCGTCCTCCACAAAGAGAACGCAGCAGGCGAATGACAAGAAGTGTCGGTTGACAACCAAGTCCAACACACCAGAGACAACCTCCACCTGTAGATCAAAGAGCAGCGTTAGTGAACTGAAGCAGCATCAGTCAGCAACCAAAAGAAAGGCATCATTGCCATCAACGACAACAACAATAACAACAACTGCTACACAGAACCAGAAGCCCAAGACAACGACCACAACGACAACTGCTGCTGCACAGACCAAGAAGCACAAGACATCAGCGACAACAACAACAACTGCTGCTAAGACCAAGAAGCACAAGACAACAACCACATCTTCACAACAACACAACTAGTTGATGCTGACATAAGTGAGTTATAGCCTGTCGATCGATCATCCGTCCTCAATGAGGTGAGGTAGACCTGCGCACCAGTGTTCGATCCAGCACCACACTAGTGCTCGGCAATGACGAATCAAGATTCGTCACCTGTGTACGCTTGAAGACCATGAACTATGAACTGAGCTGAGATGTCTTCATTGTCACTGCGATCGAATGATAACCAATGATGTACATCATCGTCCACGTGATGATGTTGATGAGTTTGATCATTGAATGATGCATACCATTAAACTTGATATTACATTATAACTTGTTTAAACTCTGTATCTGTATAATGAGACACTTTAAATTGATGTGAGAATAATAGTACTGTCGTGGGGTTGGACTTGCGTGTGCAGATCACTTTGCAGCGGATGTTGTTGAAAAAATAGAAGTGAGTAACTTGGTTATTCTCTTGGATTCAGTCTTGCCTGTCGTCAGCTTGTTGCTGCTGCCACCATCGTCGTCAGAGTCACCATCCATTGCATTGGTCTCGTATGATCCTTCCTCAAGTACCGTGTCATTCAACTCCTTCTTATTGGTGCACATCTCAAGAATGGTAGTGTCCACTGACTCATCCACGATAAGCTTATGCACATAGACGTCCTTTGTCTGGCCGATACGATGGGCTCGATCCTCTGCCTGGCGATCCACCTGGGGGTTAAACGACAGATCGTAAAAGATCACCACGTTGGCACAGGTAAGGTTGATGCCCAGACCACCGGCAAGTGTCGACAACAAGAAGACGGGGATGGTGTCGTCGCTGGAGAACAGGTCAATGATGTCCTGGCGCTCTGTTACTGGTGTCTGGCCGTCGAGTCGACAGAACGATATGTCCTGGATGGCCAACACCTCCTCGAGGATATCCAACACCTGGGTCATCTGGGAGAAGATAAGAATCTTGGAGTGCTCCTTGTTCTTGGCAATGATCTCGTTCATCTTTACACACTTGCTCGAGCTGTGCACCAGCTGGTCATCGGGGATGACGTACTTATCCAAGAGATTCTTCTCCTGATTCTTGGCAATGCAGTGCACATGGTAGTCTGACAATCCAGAGAATAACTCGTCCATATCAGCCGGTGAGTAATCGCTGTACTCATTGTCGTTGTGTCTTAGGATCTTCTTGATCTTGGTCAGCTGGTCATCAGTGTAGAAGAACTTCTGGCAAAGCAGTGGATGATTGGCGATCTTACGCAACTGCATCAACAGGTTGGACAAGTATCCATCGTTGCCAACATAAGTGTCCTGTTTATCCACATCGATGCTAAAGTCTTCCTCTTCCTCCTCCTCATCAACATCAATGTCCTCATCTTCTCCTTTCTTCTTCTTTGACTTTGTCTTGTTGATCTTTGACCTCTTCTTCCTCATTGCAACTTGTCTCCTCTTCTCTCTGGCACGTATTTCCTGTCGCCTCTCCCACTTTGCACGATTGTCTGTGATCAGTTGGTCGTAGAAGACCTTCTGTGACTCGCTCATTGTGATGAGTTCGATGTGCTCTTGCTTGGGCTTGAGCTCCAGTGAGACCTCTGTCTTTAGACGTCGCAGAATGAACGGAGCCAAGATCTTCTTCATCTTGGCAATGACTTGGTTTTTCTCATTTGAGCCCATCAACTCCTCCAACATCTCATTGTTCTTGACCTTGCCAAAGATATGAGGCATCAAGAAGTTCAACAATGACCATAGCTCTTGTATATTGTTCTGTAGTGGTGTACCTGTTAGGAGTAGTTTGTGCTTAGCCTGTAGTGTGTACGATGTTAGTACTTGAGAGGACCATGGGCGTAGATATTATCTTACCTGAAACTTATAAAGGTTCTTATATTTCTTAGAGTCGCTGTTCTTTATGTTCTGGGCCTCGTCCAACACTTGATACGTATAGTTATATCTCTTTAGGAATCTGTAGATGATGTAGTCAGTGAGTACTTAGTATTATTACACTCTGGATATTTCTATATACATACGCTCTATCCTTTGAATTATACATGAGGTTGTAGGTTGTAATGATGACGTTGAAGTCCACGCCTGGCTTCATCTTTCTAAGTTCGTACCTCTGGTACTCTCGCTCCTTCTGTGTACCATAGTACTGGTACACCTTTAGTGTTGGACACCACATGGCCAACTCTCGTTGCCAGTTGTAATAAGCTACATTGCAATAATGGATGGATGGAATAATATGTGTCAGATGGATTCATGACAATGTGATGGATGGATGAGTAATACATACTCGTTGCAGGAACAATAATTAAATGTGGTCCTGTGTCTTTATACCTCTCGTAGATGTGCGCCAACAATGAAATGGATTGTACTGTCTTTCCAAGACCCACTGTTTGTTGTTGTAATATGCTACCAGTCAGTACTACGTACGTATGTACGATCATAAATCATTGAGGGATACTTACTCTCATCAGCCAGTATTCCACTGATGTTCTCCTTGTATAGAATGGACATCCAGTTCAGGCCAATGAGCTGGTAAGACCTCATGGACTTGTTGATGATCGATGGTTGTTTGGTAATGGAGTGTGATGCCTTTGTCTGGTGTTCAACATCGTGTGTGGTCGTGGCGCCATTGGGGTCCTCAAAGCCAGACAGAATCTTGAGCATCCTCTCTGAGAACATCTCGCAGGCCTTGATCAACTTTTGCAACTGAGATATGCCATCATCAAACTCCACACTGTCCACATCCTGCATGATTCTATAGTCATTCTCATCCTCTGTTGCCTGGTCATCCTCCATGATGGCACCACCATCCACTGAGTGATCATTGTCAACATCAACATCAACATCAACGTCAGTGACCTTTGATTGCTTGACAAATGACTTCCTGGCCTGCTTGGCATGTCTCTCCACCTCTTTCTCCTCCTCTGTTGACTGATCGTCTTCATCCTCCATCTTCTTCTTGTCGTTGACGTCGTCGTCATCATCATCAAATATCAACTCGTCAATGTCGATTGATATCACTTGTTTGTTGATCTGTTGATTCTTCTTTGGTGGAGTGTTGTTGAACAGTGGCTTATGTACTCGCTTTCTATTGACGACAGGTAGCTCTTCATCATCGACGGGCACCTCAATGTTGGGTGACTGTTCCTTCTGCTCCTCTCCCTCCCTCCTGCGTGGTGATGGATCGGTCGTCCTTACAATATTGGACGTCGGTGTGCGCTTTGGACTGATGGCAGCCGTTGATTGGGTCGTCTTTGACGATGATGAAAAGTCATCGTCGTCGTCCAAGAGGTCAATAGTGTCAGCCTTTGGTTTGAATAAGAACTGCTGAAAGAAGTCCTTCTGTCCAACTGTGCGAATTGATGCCAGTCTGTTGGGTCCTCCTCCTCCTCCTCCTCCTCCGACACTGCTGCCAGTGGAGTTGGTTCTGGTGAATGAGAAGTTGCGATCATCTGTGGCATTGTTGTTTGACGGCTTGACCGCCTTGGTGACCCATTGTGATGTTGTGTCAATCTGTGACTGTGGCATGACGATGTTCTTCTTCTTCTTCTTCATGTCAGGTGACGTTCCAAACTTACTACTGCTACCACCAGCAGACGACTCTTTCTTGATCTTCTTGTTTGTCTCTGGACTCTGTTGCTTCTTCTTTTTCTTCTCAGGGACAACACCATTACTCTTCTTGTTGCTATTGGGGCCACTTGCTTGTTTCCTCTTCTTTGTTGGAGTGGCATCGTAGTCTGTCTCACTGACATGGTCATCGTCGTCATGACTCTTTGAGATGTAGTTATCATCACTGTCATCATTCCAGTCAGAGTCTGAACCCGAACCTTCTTCCTCAGTGGTGGACAATGCCAAGTCATCGGGATATGCAGTATTGTCAGAGACACCGAATCTATCGACAGGCTTGACACTTCTACGAGGTCTTCCGTTCGCTCCCCCCAGTGTTGGTGATGGATTACTGAGTGACATCCTACTACTACTTGAAGTGTCTTCTCTTTCTATCTGCCTAACTGTTGTGGGAGCACTTAAAAGAGATAAAGAGAGGCTTATGTGGTTCCTTCTTGGAATTGTTCGTTTGATTGTAATTCGTTTTGTAACAATTTTTAAGAACTTCGAAGGTTTTGATCCAGATACAGATAATAAAGATCGATGAACTACACTAGTGAAAATAATATTTTAAATAATAAATAAGTCAGTTTAGTAAATCATTCAATCAATATCGAAATCCACTTCATTTATTATGAACTTAAAGATCTAAGATAGTTAGTTCTAACTAATCTCGATTTGAGCCCATTAAACGAAATGAAATCAACTGATTTCGTGTTTGAAGTTTCTTTGTCACACAGAAGACAAAGTAGCAAACCCATTATGAGGGTGGTTTGAGATGTCCTTTTGATCAACCATCAAACAACAACAACCAACCAATCAAACAACTAAACAATCTTGATTGATGGTCAGATAAGATAACTGTATAAAACACACACATAATATATATATATTGTATAATAGATATAGAGTTAGAGAGACAGGTACTCGGCATCACCATCACTCACACCCACTCAGTCACCTGTCATCTTACAACAACTAAGTTCAACAAACAACAAACAAACAACGACTACACACATGAATATAAAGTTCACACTATTACTAGTGCTACTGGCTGTGTGTTGTGGAGGAATCAGTGCTATTGGTCAAGTGTTTGTCTATGACGACACGGCAGACTGCTCCACCACTCAATGCAACTTCTTTGAGGATGAATCAATATGGGTGGATCAGAACGCACCAAAGATATACTCTGCTGGTGACACCATCATCATCAGTAGCAATCGCACCACCTCAATATTGGTCAAATACTTCCTACCCTACTACTGTCGCACATTCATCGTAAATGGTCCAAACGTCACGGTCCAAGTTGAATTCCCCATCGCATCACTGACAGTCACAGGTGACTTTAACGTTACCGGCGGTGCCCAAGTCACATTTGGTGAGCAAACCAAGGCCAATCTTACTTATATGGCCGTGTACAATAGCAGCAGTGTGGCACTCTACGGGACTACATTTGGCCAGAAGGACCTGTTGCTGGTGGACCACACGTCCACATTGTATTTCTCCAACATGTCACAGATTGAATACGGTGGCCCTTCATACATCGATGGTGTGCTTACCATCACCATGCCACAGACCTCTGCTACATTCTCAGGACAGACCAACATCACTCAGGGACTACACTCTGAATCGGCAACACTAACAATGGAGAGCGCTTCGTTCAGTGGCAACTCAACCGTACATGGTCTAACTCTCAATGCCGCCATTATCGAGCCACAGTCCAACATACTAGTTAGTTCATTCATCTCAATGGTGACGATGGAGAGCAGCACATCTAGTTACTCAGGACTTCAATTGGCGTCTGGCTCATCGATTGTCGTCAACAGTATAGACAACCAACCAAGCTCAATGAACTCAGTGTCCTCATTAGCCAACTCCCAAATGTCGCTCACCAACTCCTCGTCACTGACCATAACTGGATGTAACATTAATGGTGACTTGACCACGACAAACGTACCAACACTCCAATTGGGCTACACTACATCAAACAACTATATTACTAGACTACTATTCTCTGGTGCCACCTATGTCCAGCTCTCCAACATCACCATTGAAAGTTTGGGACAGCAACCAACAACTCCACAAAATGCCCTCCTCATTCGCACGCAGTCTGGCACGTCGACAATCAACGGTCTAATCAGTCAATCATTTGTGAATACATCGATTGCTGTGGACCCCAACGCCAAACTCATCCTCCCACCATCCATCAACACGGACGGACCGATAATGGTGTCTGGTCTCCTGGTTGGCATGAATATCTCTACGCCATCACTCACGAGCTTGACCCCAACGTCCAACATAATTATCAACCTAATTTCCAGTGTCACAGTGATCAATGCCCGAGTTGAGGTATATAGTGGTGCAAGACTCACTGTAATCGTACCAACAGAGGCACCTGTTTCAAGTGGTCTACTCATTGATGGTCCATTGTCATTCAATGATGCCAGCACAACTCTTAACCTTCAGTTTGATGGTTCACGTGAATCATCCGATCCAGTGATCAATGTGAACAGTCTAGATGCCAACAACTGTGTCGTCGTGGTTAACATTACAAGTATGCCAAACACATGGCCCGCCACCTACACGCTGGTTAGGTCCAACGTCAACATTACCAGTTCATTCAACAATTCTGCGATCCTCCTATCCCTGCCTGGTGAGAGTGACACGGGTGCCCATTACACGTCCACACTGGACACCACTCAGGACAACAACGTACGAGTAACGATTGATCGTAGGGTGGTTAGCGGTGGAACCCTGGCTGGTTGGAAGATAGCGCTCATTGTGATTGGCAGCGTGATCGGAGCGGCCCTCCTCGCATTTGGGGCTGTATTCATTTATCGTCGTGCTCGTCGCAGCAGGACAGGTTACGACACCATTGCATAGATAGAGTTCTATTAATAAATACACGACATGTCATCAAATGATAAACTAGGCCTAATCAAATCCCAGAGTTCCAAGGTCGGAATTCTTTCCAACAGTTTATATGTGGTGCCCAGTTGAGATCGATCACGTGATGGGTGTTCATCGAATCGACCCAAATTTCGATAAATATCTGAACGAATGTGTACATGTCGACTTATGTCAAACATGTACATTAAAATTAAATTAAATTTTTAAAATGTTTCATCGGATCATTGATCATCATCATCACCAAGTGATGTCATCCATCAGTTTGGACTGTTAGATCGATCCTGAATCACAATTATAAATGGTCTGATCAGGTCCATTCAATCAATCATCATTCTATTCAAACAGATAATCAACATCCAATCAAACAATTATGTCTATTTACGAGGATATCCTTAGAGCTCAGGTTAAGCAAGGGTATTGTATCATACCATTCTCAAGTAGTCTACACTTACTGCTGGTTCACTCTTATTAATCATTCTTACTATCAATCTCCATCCAGTAACTTTGGTGGCAAGCACGGTCCATTCGCCTACTTGGCCGAGAAGAAGAAGAGAAAGCCAACCAAGGAGATCATCTATGACAACTGGTTGGGTTATGAGGTTACCGTTGAGCGTGCCGAGCTCTACATTGCCACTGACTCCAATGGTTTCAGTGACCCATACGTCCGCATTGGAAAGAAGGTCAAGGATGGTCTTTTCTCCAAGAAGTGGGTTCTCCAGACTCCAGCCGTCTCCAAGACACTGAATCCAGTGTGGAACTACACCAACTCGTTCACCGTGAACATTGGAAAGAGCTCTGATCTCCAACTCCAACTCTGGGACAAGGATGCCCTGAAGGATGGTATGTATTCTTATTCTACTTTGTTCTCCCTACCACTCACTAACTCCAATCATCAATCATTGAATATAGATTTCATTGGAAGTGCCACTTTCTCTGTCCCAACTGGACTGTATTCATCTCAAACCAAGACTGTTGATATCTACGATCCAAAGAACAGCAAGATCATCAACGCCAAGGTCACCTTCACCATCAAGTGTGTTGAGAAGGCTTCAAAGGAGGCTCTCTCTCTCTCTTCAGTCTAAATATATTTAATACACTAACTTGTATTCTATTCTTTATATCTGACCTCTCTGTCTGAGCTGCCAACTTCTCATTCCTCACATGGTTGAATATGAACCCAAGGATAGTGAACTCCTTCTGGTTCGAAATCAGCCTAGGCATTGATTCACTTGGAAGAAGACAATACTTGTCTGGGGAACTCAAGTCGTACACACCATCAGTTGAGGAGTTCCAAGCAAGTTTATAAATATACAAGATTTATTATCATTATTATAATCAATACTAATATAACAGCAGTAATCACAACAATGTCTATGTTGGATTATGAACAGAAGTGGCTGGCAACACAATTTCGACTTGTGGAGAAGCTCTGATGTCGTCCAACATATTAGATCTAATATGGAGTACATCCTTCTCCTTTTTCTTCTCTTGAACAAATCGTTCCACTTTGCATTTGAGCTGATCATTCTCTTGGCTCAATCTTTTGTTCAGATCATCTGTCTTTGTCCTCGATTCTACCAACTTTGCATTGGTGATGGTGAGTTGATCATTCTCTTGTTTCAATCGATTGATCTCATCCTCCAATCTTGACACCAACTCTCCAGACTTGTCCAAAGTGACGAACTGTATTCTCTTGTTGATCCAGTCCAGCTCCTGCTTCAACTCTTGGTTCTCGCTTTCCAAGACTTCGTTGTGCTCAGTGAGTACGGTGAGTTGGGAGTCCATGAGTTTCTTCTGCTCACTGAGGAGGGCAAAATCGGCGTGAAGTTGACTATGATAATGGGCTGATATATCGGGCAGAACTCAGGGTCCTCCCCGAAGCACAAACATGCCATCCTTGACTCGGACTGAACAATCAGCTTTGAAACCAGACGGTTGCGTGAGGCAAGGACTGCCTCATCAAACTCGATGGGGTCAGTAAGCATCTGTTTGGTCATCTCTTCGCAGACTTTGGACATCAAGATAAAATCTGATTCTTTTAAAGAGACAGGGATTGATTGCGTGAGTAAGTGACATGGGATTCTTCCAATGATTGATTGATTGATTGTGATTGGATAGATTGATTATTGAGATGTTAAACATACCATGGGAGAGAGGCTGTGTTTCTTTGGAATGAGTGATTGTGTCATTGGGTCTTGGGTCCTTGCAGAAGGGACTCCTTGCTAATTTATGCTCCATTCTATCTTTTATGTTTCTATATATATATATGTATATTTAGACCAATCCTCTTTTAAAATAGAGTGGGGCTCGAAATACCTATCACACTCAGTATACTGAGAGAAGAGAGAGTTAGAGAAGGTTGGTTAGTTGTTATTATGCTGGTCAGGTCAGGTTAAGTTAGGTCAGTGAGATGAAGATGATGATGATGATGGATTCATTAATTTGTTTAGTTTATTATCTCTTTGTATCTTCCAATGCTCGACAACATTATGAGGAATTTAATGGTCCTCAGTCCACCTCTGAATTGATGTAGCTATCGCCGAATGTAGTTTGGAAGCAGGATATTTGAACTCATAGTTGATGTTGAACTATGATCTTTGTCGACTGTCACTCTCGTCTTAGGTCAAACACAAACTCAATGGTATAACGCTAACTGACTGATTGGCACTCTCTATAGATGGATGTGGTCCATCATTAATTATTAAGATATTCATTTGCACCAAGACAAGAACCAAAAATGTAGGATGTCAACATCGACTGACCAAGCCATGAGGACCGGTGATCTTTTGGGTGGATGATTCGGTTGTACTGAAGGTTCAGTCCAACTATGTATAGATATACATGTTTATATTGTACACCTGTTACAAGGTTCAATATACAAGTATAACTAAATCCATAGTTTGACTGATCGTAGAATGTCATTCCCATCGCAACAACATTAGCCTAGCTGTGCAACTTGGCTTCCCTTAATGATGATGACTTTTTTGAAAAAATAATGTAATCAAAGTTATAAGTATGATGAGTTGAAATGGATGTGAAGTGTAATGAGCATCCAACTATCATATCCGCACTCTATTAACTACTACACATTGCCACTCAGTCAATAAAACTCCAATATTGCCTATTTGAATTAACAAACGACTACTTCAGTCTTCCTGATATGGTAATGATTGATTGATTGGTCATTGATCAATGGTGTGGCGTGTTTGTGAATGAGTGAGTTAAACAGTGGTTGGTGACTTGAGATTGATGTTCACCCAAGTGGTGGTGGTGAACAGTGTGGTCAACCTTAACTAGTTAAACGTCAGTATTCTCAGACACACAAGTAACAATTGTTGGATGAATGGATGGTTGGACAGACGATGTTTATTCAGTGTTCATCTGCTGGTTGTAATACGCGCGATACTCATTCATGTCGTCTTCTTCGTCGTAGTCAGAGTCTTGATTGTTGGCCACAGTGGCATCGGTGTTGGTGCGTCGCTCGCGTGTGATTGTGTGGACAGCCGCGATCATCAGCTGTATCTTGTCGGGATGCAGCATGTCCTTGCTCGGCAGCGACATCTTGAGCGACAGTTGATAGATGTCCATTATGCTGCGTGGATGGATCAGCATGAAGCTGCGTCGCAGCACTTCAATGCAGTTGCGAACGCGTGCAATATTCTCGCGCGCCTCGCGTCCAATCTCCTTGACCGACTGCGGAAGCAGCAGCGGCTGATCATAGTGCTCCTTCTCGTGGTTCTGTATTAGTTCGGCCTGCTTGCGCTGCTGAGCGGCGTCCGCCAGCCAGATGTAGCCGTTGACGCCCAGAATCACGTCGACGCCGCACTCGAGCGTGTGGAAGTGCAGCTTGCCGCGCTTGATCAGACTAGAGGGCACGCGCATGAATGTGCCGTTCTGCAGCTTGCCGTATCGCTGGTTCCTCGTGTGCAGAGCGATCGAGCCGTCCTGATTGATTGCCTGCACCTCGGCGTAGACCAGGTCGTTCTCGACAAAGAAGTTCCTCATCTGCAGCTCATCGGACGATGTGCGACGACGCTGAATGCCACCAGGCAGATTGATCGCAGTCAGCATGAGTATGTAGTCTTGGCGCGCGTTGACATCGACCTTCCAGCGCTTGGCGCCAACCTGTGTGATTCGTCCAACGACAATGTCTCCAATCTCGCCGTGGAAGCGAGCTTTGAATGGGCGCACCGAGACCAGCTTGTCGATGCGCTCGACCAGGCCGCAGACCGAGGCCATCAGATCGCCTGCGTGGTGGAATGTGCCGTGACCGCGGAGGAACTCGCCCTCACGCGATATAGTCTGTCCAGGTGTCATCAGATTCTTATCAAACTGTTGTTGTGTCAGTGTCCTATGTTGTTGCTGTTGTTGTTGTGCACCCTTTGAAGGATGATGCATCAATCGCATCTTCTTATTTGGTGAGAATATATTGATATTGATCTGTGCAAGATAGTTTGGTTCTCCATTCTTATGGTCTACCATCATCGTTGTATCACTTCCATTGTCCATTGTTATAATAAGGTGTATATTGTGTTATATGTTTGATTAATTGTGTCGATTTGAAAATGAACATGATTAAAAACGAATGAATTCTCTAAACTCACATTCATTTCGTTCAGGTGAATGTGAATGAAGGCAATCACACACAAGATTTTTTTATCTTTTTGGGACATCCATTCTTCCTTGTTCACCTTTTCATTGTAGCAAACTAGAAGTTTCGAATATGATTGTCTCTTTCTTCTCTGTATTTGGATGTATTCGGAATATACGAATGATCATTATTTAATCTTATCCAACTCAGTCAAAGATTAATGAATGGAGTAAGTGACTAACGATAACCAACTTCTTACAGAATCGGGACCAGAATGAATGAATGAAAAGGTGAACAAGGAAGAATGGATGTCCCAAAAAGATAAAAAAATCTTGTGTGTGATTGCCCAAGCCGACTTCAAATTTCATCGTGCACTCATTCATTTCCTTCACTTCACTTTGTCAAAGTATACAAATACATACGTCATACATAATATACATATATACAGATACATAAGGTAATATAACAATGATTGATTGATTATGTTACACAACAACATCATCATATTTACACTAACTTACACATTCACTCAATCATTCAATCATTCAAACATACTACTTTAGCAATGTTGAAACAATTCACCAGAGTCAACAACCTTAGAGCTGGTCTGCGTTACTACTCCACAGGTACGACCGATCGACATCAATAATGCAACAATGAAATTCTTACATTCAATCAATCACATAATCATAATATAGAGCAACAGGATGTTGTAATTATTGGAGGTGGTCCAGGTGGCTACGTCGCAGGTATCAAGGCAGGTCAGCTTGGAATGAAGGTCACAGTTGTTGAGAAGCGTGGAAAGCTTGGAGGCACCTGTCTCAACGTTGGATGTATCCCATCAAAGGCCTTGCTCAACGCCTCACACATGTACGAGGATGCCAAGACCAAGTTTGTCAACTACGGTATCAAGGTGGGCACTGTCGAGCTCAACCTGCCGGATATGATGAAGTACAAGGAGAAGTCAGTCAACGGCCTCACCTCAGGTATCGAGGGTCTGTTCAAGAAGAACAAGGTCGAGTACGCCAAGGGTCACGGCAAGATCACTGGACCAAACACCGTCGAGGTCACTGGCGAGGACGGAAAGGTCAAGACCATCCAGACCAAGAACATCGTCATTGCCACTGGCTCCGAGGTCACCTCGCTGCCCAACGTCAACATTGATGAGACCAGCATCATCTCGTCGACTGGCGCACTCGCCCTCAAGCAGGTGCCCAAGCGTCTGATCGTCATTGGTGGTGGTGTCATTGGACTGGAGCTCGGCTCTGTCTGGTCGCGTCTCGGCTCCGAGACCACCGTCGTCGAGTTCACTGGCCGCATTGCCGCCGGTGCCGATGGTGAGGTTGCCAAGAAGTTCCAAAAGGTGTTGGAGAAGCAGCACATGAAGTTCCATCTCGAGACTAAGGTGACCAGCGTCACCAAGAACGCCAACGGCACCGTCTCTGTCACCGTCGAGTCTGTCGGTGGCTCTGGATTCTCGGGCACGCTCGAGGCCGACGCCGTTCTGGTCAGTGTCGGACGTCGTCCAAACACCACCAACCTCGGACTCCAGGAGGTCGGCATTGCCACCGACAAGGCTGGCCGTGTTGAGGTTGGCGAGCACTTCAAGACCAACGTGCAGACAATCTACGCAATTGGAGACGCCATCAAGGGCCCAATGTTGGCTCACAAGGCGGAGGAGGAGGGAATTGCCGTCATCGAGTACCTGCACAACGGCAGCGGACACGTCAACTACGGCGCCATCCCATCCGTCATTTACACACACCCCGAGGTCGCCTGGGTTGGCAAGACCGAGGAGGAGCTCACCAAGGAGGGCATCAAGTTCAACGTTGGCCGCTTCCCATTCGCCGCCAACTCGCGTGCCAGAACCAACGATAGCGCTGAGGGCTTTGTCAAGTTCCTCTCGGACTCGGCCACCGATCGCATCCTCGGTGTGCACATCATGGGTGACTGCGCCGGTGAGATGATCGCCGAGTCTGTGCTCGGTATGGAGTATGGTGCCAGCTGCGAGGATATTGCCCGTACCTGTCACGCTCATCCAACCCTCTCCGAGGCTGTCAAGGAGGCTGCCATGGCTGCCTACGGCAAGCCAATCCATTTCTAAACACAACACTCACTCAAACATCGTATAAACTTGACCAACTGACTATCCTCAGACGTCTCTCCGAGAGATTGCTTTATTAATTAAACTTGATGTTGTCAACAACAACGACATTACTGGACAGGCTTGAAAACAAGGGCGCGTAGAATGATGTCAAAGTTGCCATTGTTCATGAAGGACACTTGGTTCTGATCACCCTCATTAGAACTCTCCTCGGGCATTAGGACATATCTGTTGGCGCACTGCTGGGTGTAGGTGTCAGATCCGGCAGGCACTTGGAAGCTCTTAAAGCCCTCCTCAGTGTTGGTCATTCTGAAGGAGGATGCCCCGTTTGGAGACGAGCACTCAATGAAGAACTCCGTCTGAAGGGGCATATGGCGCTGTCTACCCTCTCTAACCACAGCAGGGGAGTATTTGAAAGAGATCTCTGCTCCTGGTTTAAGGGCAACACCGTGGAAGCCTGGTCCATGGTAGTTGGGTTTGAACTCGAAGCCGGTGCACTTTGAGAACTTCTGGGGATCAATGACGGTCGCGCTCTTTGGCCAAATCTGGTTCAGAGACTTTAGGCTCTCTGGGATCCATGAGTTGACACCTGCGAGAAGAGTATAGTAAGGGATACTATCCTCCTCCATCTTAATGCAGTCAAAGCCAAGTACACCATAGACAACATGCTTGTCGATCTTGAAATGGTGCTCGGTAGCATGGATGCCCTCCCAAGGAACACTCCAACCAATGTTGATTACTTTGTTTCCTGAGCCTGTTACTCTGGCTCCGACCATCGACCTATCAGACCAGAGATAGGCTTCTGTCGGGGTAAAGTCCATGTTCCAGTTGGTCCAGTCAGCATTGTTACGGTCCTCGGGTCCCTCATAATGGTCAGGAATACCATTGTACTGACAACGAGCACCAGCGAATATCTTCAAGTCAGAGACCTTGTGGCTGTTGATGCCTCCCTCGATGCAGGTCAAATCACCCTTGTAGCGTTGGTATCCGTTGTTAAAGATCTTGTCATCGATGTACTGGACTTGTGAAGATGGGATAAGATTTGATAACACGTTTGGATCGATAATCCAGCCACACAGGTCGGTGAACAACACATGGACAGCATCACGAGTTACTCCGCCAGGATATTGAGCCCTGTCCAAGAAAGGGAAAAGATGAACAATGTCAAAGACAAGGCCGACCATCTGATTGTAATACTCATTCTTCTTCTTCCAGATCTCAATAGAGTTGCCAATATTCTTATTGTTGATAATTGCCGTGTACTGTTTGTTGAACACATCTGTGGCGTACTTGGTGTAGATGGGCAAGTACTCCTTGAAGTTGGCAACAAATCCATCGATAATTCCTTGAGGCACGGCCCAGTCCTTGGCATTACCAATAACCATCTGCAAAAGAATTAGATGTTGGAGAGCGTAGAGGACGAAGGTGGGTAGCTCACACACCTCATAACCAGGTCTCTGGCATTTGACCAAACCACGTTTGACCGCCTCAAGCAAGTCGATAAAGTAGTCGTACACCGACTTTTGGTAGGACTTGACATCTGGACTGTTCATGTACTTGGCCAGGATATCCATTTGTTGGTTCAGATCCTTTAGTTGTAGCTTCACACCATCAAAGTCTGACTGGATGTTAGACTGGTCGTACTTCTCCAGCTTCTCATCAATCATCTGGCTCACCATGTCCTTGATCTCCTGCATCATGTTGACCACCGCCTTGGATGAAAACAGCGACCAGATGATATCGGTCAAAGTAGACAACAAGCCACCAACATAGGGAATGCATGATAGGGCAGTCTCGAGTACTCCCTTGATCAAAGCGCCATAGTTAATTTGTTGGCCGGTCAACATATCGACTATCTGTTGCTTCTCATTCCTCAACAGCTTCTCAAAGATGGCAATCTTTCCAGCATAGGTCTTCTTGAAAGCCTCATTGATTACCTTGTTGGCTGAGAAATTTGATTGAAAAGGTAAGGAATAATGTTCATATATGTGTTGTTCCACTAAACTTACCATCTTCCTCCTCCCCAATTGCAGACGGGGTATTGGTATCATATTGGTCTTTCTTGGCATTTCCAAGGGAAAGCTTAGAGTGATCATGATCATGATGATGTTTAATAGTTGAAGAAGACATTATTATTGTTTATTTATTATTATTATGATTCTTATTCTTATTAGTATTATAATAATAATAATAAGAATAATAATATATTCTTTATATAAATTTTGAAGTGTATTTATATTTA